CATCAGTTTTGAGTTCTCCTCATATAGATCTTGCATATATATGAAAGTATTTCATTTTGCGGAGTGCTAATGTAAATGGTATTGTGTTTTTTATTTCAAATTCCACTTGGTCATTGCTGGTATACAAGAAAGTGATTGACTTTTGTGTATTAAACTTATATCCTGAAACCCTGCTATAATCTCTCTCTTTTTTTTTTTTTGGTGAGGAAGACTGGCCCCGAGCTAACATCTGTTGCCAATCTTCTTTTTGCTTGAGGAAGACTGTCACTGAGCTAACACCTATGCCAATCTTCCTCTGTATTGTAGTGGGACACCATCTCATCATGGCTTGATGAGTGGTGTGTAGGTCCATGCCTAGGCTCTGAATCCGTGAACCCTGGGCCACTGAAGTGGAGTGTGTGAACTTAACCACTATGCCACCAGGCCAGCCCCATATAATCTCTTATTAGCTCTAGGAGTTCTTTCCTGGTCAATTCTTTCGGATTTTCTATAGAGGATTATGTCATCTGTGAACAAAGACAGTTTCATCTCTTGCTTCCCAATCTGTATACCTTGTTTCCTTTACTTGTCGTACTGTATTAGCTAGGACTCTCAGCACAATGTTGAAAAGCAGTGGTGAGAGAAGGAACACCCTTGCCTTTTTGCTGATTTTGGTGGGAAAGCTTCAAGTTTCTCATGGTTAAGTATGATGTTAACTGTATGGGGTTTTTGGTAGATATTCTTTAACAAGCTAAGGAAGTTCCCCTCTATTCCTAGTTTATTGAGAGTTTTTGTCATGAATGGGTATTGGATTCTGTCAAATGCTTTTTCTGCATCTATTGATATGATGTGACTTTTCTTAGTTAGCCTATATGTGATGTGATAGATCTCATTAATTGATTTTCAAATGTTGAACTAGCCTTGCATACCTGGGATAAATTCCACTTGGCTGAGGTGTATAATTGTTTTTAAACACTATTGGATTTGATTTGCTAATATTTGTTGAGGAATTTTTGCATCTGTGTACATGAGAGTTATTGGTCTATAGTTTTCTTGTAATGTTTTTGTCTGGTTTTGGTATTAGGGTAATGCTGGCCTCATGGAAGTTAGAAAGTATTTCCTCTGCTTGTATCTTCTGAAAGAAATCATAAAGAACTGGTATAATTTCTTCCATAAATGTTTGGCAGAATTCACCAGTGAACCCATCTGGGTCTGGAGTGCTTTGTTTGGGAAGATTATTAATTATTGATTCAATTTCTCTAATAGATATAGATCTATTTAGATTGCCTAATTCTTCTTGTGTGAGTTTTGGTAGTTTGTCTTTCAAGAGATTGGTCTATTTCACCTAGGTTATCAAATTTATGTGCATAGTATTATTATCCTTTTAATATCCATGGGAACTGAAGTGATGTCCCCTCTTTAATTTCTGATATTACCAATTTGTGTCCTCTCTTTTTTCTTAGGCTGGTTAGACGCTTATCAACTTTATTGATCTATTCAAAGAACTAGCTTTTGGGTTCTTTGGTTCTCTGATTTTCTCAATTGATTTCTTGTTTTCCATTTCACTGATTTCTGTTGCAATTTTTATTCTTTTCTTCTGCTTACTTACTTTAGATTTAATTTGTTCTTCTTTTTTTAGTTTCCTAAAGTAGAAGCTTAGATGATTGATTTTAGAAATTTCTTTTTTCTAATATATGCATTCAATACTATAAAGTTCCTTCTAAGCACAGCTTTTGCTGATCCCCACAAATTGTGATAAGTTGTGCTTTCATTTTCATTTAGTTCAAAATATTTTTTCTCGAGATTTCTTCCTTGACCCACGTATTATTTAGAAATGTGTTGTTTCAATCTCCAAGAACTTTGGGATTTTCCAGCTCTATTTCTGTGAATGACTTCTAGTTTAATTCTATAGTGATCTGAGAGCAGACACTGTATGATTTATATTCTCTTAAATTTGTTAAGGTGTGTTTTATGGCCCAGAACATGGTCTATCTTGGTGCAGGTTCCATGTGAGCTTAAGAAAAATGAGTAATCTGCCATTGTTGGATGAAGCAGTCTATACACACCCATCATATTCAGTTAGTTGACTGATTGTGTTGTTGAGTTCAACTATGTCCTTACTGATTTTCTTTATTGTCTTCTATTTGTTACTTTTGTTTTTTGTTCCTACTTTTTTCTACACTTTTTCTGCCTTTTGTGGTTTTGACTATTTCACATGATTCCATTTTCTCTTTCTTGCATGTCAGTTATATTTCTTTTTTCACTTTTTATAATGGCTGCCCTAGATTGTGCATTATATATCTATTTTCAATATACCAGTTTCAGATACCACTACACCACTTCACACACAGTGTATTTTACAATAATGAAATAATCTTCATTCCTCCCTCCCATCCCTTGTATTATTTCTGTCACTCATTTTACTTACATATAAATAAACATAATCACTTTGTTGCTATTATTATTTTGAACTGTTATCTGTTAGATCAATTAAGCAAAATAAAAGTGTTCATATTTTACCTTCACTTATTCCTACTCTGATGCTCTTCCATTCTGCATGTAGATCTGAGTTTCTGACCTATATCATTTTCCTTATCTCCAAAGAACTTCTTTTAGCATTTCTTGCAAGGCAGGTTTACTGCCAATAAATTTTCTCAATTTTTGTCTGAGAAAGTCTTCATTTCTCCTTCACTTCTGAATGACAATTTTGCAGGGCACAGAATTCTAGGTTGGAGAGTTTTTTCTCTCAACACTATTTTACTCTGTTCTCTTCTTGCTTGCACTGTTTCTGAGAAAAAGCTGAATGTAATTCTTATCCTTGCTTCTCTGTAGGTAATGTGTTATTTTCCTCTGGCTTCTTTCAGGATTTTTAATTGATTATTGATTTTCTGTAGTATAAAAATGACATCCCTAGGTTTAGTTTTTTTGGCATTTAAACTGCTTGGTGTTCCTGAACTTACTGGATCTGTGGTTTGGTGTCTGACATTAATTTGGGGAAATTTTCAGTCATTACTGTTGCAAATATTTCTTCTGCTCCTCTCTTTCTCTCTTCTCCTGAAATTCCTATTACACATAGGTTACATCCTTCTGCAGTTGCCCCACATATTTAGGATATTTTTTTTTTTTCCCTTTCCTTTTCAGTTTTGGCAGTTTCTATTGAGACTTCCTCAAGCTCAGAGATTCTTTTCTCAGCCATGTCCAGTTTGCTAATAAGCTCATTAAAAGTATTCTTCACTTCTGTTACACTCTTTCTGATCTCTAGCATTTCTTTTTGGTTCTTTCTTAGAATTTCCATCTCTCTGCTTACATGGCCCATCTGTTCTTCATGCTGTCTACTTTATCCATGAGAGCTCTTACCAACCTCATCAGTTGTTTTAAATTCACATTCTGACTATTCTAACATCCCTGGCCATTTATGAGTCTGGTTCTGATGCTTGCTCTGTGTCTTCAAGCTATGTGTTTTAGCTTTTAGCATGTCTTGTTAATTTTTTTTGATAGTTGGACATGAGGTGTTGGGTAAAAGGAATTGCTATAAGTAGGTCTTTAGTTATGTGGTGATAATTTGTGGAGGGAGAGGAAGTGTTCTATAGTCCTGTTGCAGGACTCAGTCTTTCAGGGAACCTGTATCTCTGGACTGTGGACTTCACATGGCTTCTCAGCCCCCCTCCTCCGCCCTGCTTTGGTGGGACAGGGAGGCTAGAGTGGGCTGGAGTAATTTCCCTTCTTCCACGTGGAAGGCTAGAGCAGCTGGAGTCAGTAATTCCCCTTCTCCCAGGTCAGTTAGGCTCCAGTTAAATAGTTTCTCCTGAGGGCAGACCTTGTTAAGAATAGAATGCTGCGGTGTATTTCAAAATAGCTTCTTTTCCTTCCCTGTGCCAGAAGCACAAGAGAATTTCTCGCTGATATTGACTGTGACAACCTGGTTAAGCCCCTAGAGGTAAAATCCACAGAAGTGTGGGGGCCCCAGTGACTGGGTACCCTGGAGATTTATCTCTCAGATGTGTCTACCTCGGCACTGGTTCCTACAGAGGTTTGTGGTCTTGGGTTTCTGCTCTGGTAAGCTGTGATTCTCTGTATTCACCTCTCAGTCTCTTTAATTTTGGGGGCAGTGGTTTGCCCTGTGATCTCCCTTCTCTGACAGATCTAAGAAGAGTTGATGATTTTTCAGTTTGTTTAGGTTTCTACTTGTAAGGATGGAATGGCAACTGTGAGCTTCTTACATGCTGGACCTGAAACTGGAAGTTCCTTGCACAGCTTTTCGGAGTTTACTTTGCCTACTGTGAGCTGTGTGGGAACTTGATTCTTCCCCTGCTTCTCCATTACTGAACTACTACAAATATGGGATACCACAATGTTCTGGCCTTCAATTGGCATGAAAAGATCATCAAAAAAACAAAACAAGTCTACTCTGTTCTTTTCTCAATCACTAGTAAATTATTATATTACTCTGTCACACTATATTGTATTCATGTCAAATTAACACCCTAATTTGGTAAATAACAAGAAATTCATCTCATACTATGAAGTGTTTCAATTGCAACTACCACTGCAAAAGAAAGGTTTTGTTTTATATCTACTGATACACTAGTAAATATGGAATTATTTTTGTTCATTCTGATATTTAGAGAAGCCAACCTAACTATCATCAGATCTCTATCAACATATTAAAAGGAATTCTTTAGTACCAAGATTGCTGTAAACACTGCTATAAAGGTGGCACTGAAATCTCATTCTGATAGTTGGTTACAATATGGTCATCTAGATTATGCAGAAACATGCGTATGCTAATTTCTAAAATTATCATTGAAAATAAAGACACAAAGAGTTCTTATAGCAAAAACCCACAAATCCCTAAGAATATATATGTATATAAGCCCTGGTTTGAGAAAAATTGTCCCTATGTCATGGAAATGAAACTCTTTAGTGTAGCTCCAAAACAAAGCAAAATGCTTTAATGAACAAGTATTCATTTAATGCTGTTTTAGTCTCTTTTGAAAAAACCACAGATTCACATCACTTACCTCAATGCATGGCATTCTCCCAGAGAAATTAGCAGCTGTATAGCCGAGTGTGCAATTTGCTATAAGCTTAAGTCCTAGCTGACGTGCATCGAGCATTCGTGAAAGGGCTCTGTCTTGCTTATAAGCCTTCATCGACTGCTTCACCATGAATCTGGTTTTCAAAATTTCTTCAAGCATTCTTGGTAGCACACCCTTTCTTACTGAAGGCTATCATAAAAGAAAAAAGAATGTTCAAAATCCCTTAAACATTATAGATTTAGATAATTAAGAAGGAAGCACAAAGTATAATTATGGCCAACTGTTATGAATTGAAACATACTAATAATACAGTGGCCACAGGACCAGTGGCCATCAATACAAAATCATTGCATTTTCCTTTTTTTGAAGAGGACTTTTTGCCTAAAAGGTTCCTGTAATGTTTATAAATCTAATGTAGTACTACTATGGGAGTTCAGAGACCTCCAGGGAGGAGGATGTCAACTAGCACATTGAGAGACCATACAACAAACAAGTTCAGAGGGAAATTTGTTCAAAACTTTGATCCAAACCCCCACTCTTTCAGAAAGACACATGGGATTTGTATCACTCATAACAAACCTCAGTTTTTAAAGATCTCATCCTAATGACCCCACACAGTAATCTGCATGGAACTCCATTTATCTACCTTGGAAGAATGATGAGCTGGGTTGACTCTGCTGACATTCAAACCTGCAGTTCCAGGGACTCTAGGTATTTCAAATCTGATGCTTAGACCACTAAGCCATCCCCTCCGGCCTATATTTATTAGCAATCTGGAAGAGGGGATGAATAGTGAGGTGATAAAATTTGTTGATGCCAAAAAAAAAATCATTTGTATTAATCAAGACTAGGGAGAATTTATGAGAACTCCAATAGGAATGAAAACCACAAAACAGTATTAACTTTGAAGATGATTCACAGACACGTGCAAGGTAATGCATGTTGGACTGACCAAGTAAAATGCCAGGTAAAGGATAATCACACTCCTGAATATTAAAAATCTTATTTTCATTAAGCTTTATACATTGGGTCAAAATGTAGATGCAAAGTATTAAAATGCTGTTAAAGGCAGATAATATAATCAGCTGCTAGGTATGTGACAATGAAAACATATTCTAACCTCTAATTCATTCTGTGTACCTTTTGAAGCAGCCATAATATTTAAGACATAATACACATCACTATGTTAAGATGTAATATTTTCCAAAAATGAATATATCATGAACTTTCTGGCAAAAATTTCCTCATATCTAAATGGCTAATTTTAGGGTACTTTTTATTTATTTATTTTTTTGCTGAGAAAGATTTGCCCTGAACCAACCTCTGTTGCCAATCGTCCTCTTTTTGTATGTGAGTTGCCACCACAGCATGGCCACTGAGAGATGAATGGTGTAGGTCAGCATCTGGGAACAGAACCCAGGCCACTAGAGTGGAGCATGCCGAACTTAACCATGAGGCCACTGGGGTTGGCCCTAGGATACTTTTTCAACACAGCATCCTCTTACTAGTAGAGAAGGAGGCTACTTTTGCTAAGTACACCAGAATGAATTTGAGAGCTAGTGGGGTCCATGCTGCCATCAACCACCATATAGTCACATGATTCTAGTACAGACTCACTACTAAGGAAACAGAAAAGAGAGAAATGAAGTTGGCATATGAGAGGCAACATAATCTTCTCCTAGATCTCTACTATTTGTCTTTAATTTACTCATTTATAAGGCTTTCCTCAGTCTCTTTTAAGGGGAGATAAGAGAGAGAGAGAGAAAAAAAAAAACCCTGTTATTAGTTTGACTACCTTCTTAAAAACACAATTCATAATTATATTAGAGTATCACTATTTCTAAGATAGTTTTAATTTAATTTAAAATAACGTAGAAGAACAATTAGTAGAGTTTACACATTCAGGTAATTTAAATCTTTATAAGTTAACATCGTTGTGATCATCAAATAGCTATTTAAGTCTGCCAGATTCTAATAGAGGCAGAAGGTACATACGTCCATTTATTTCCCTAAAATATTGCATTAAAAACTAAAATCTAACAAAAGATTTTAAACCTAAATTCATGCAAAACAATATGACTTTTTTTTTAAACGATTTCTGAGAGGATTCCTATATCCTTGACTTTTTGAGATAAGATATTCAAGCAAACTTGTTTTTGTTGTTGTTATTGTATTATATGCCAACAACAACTAAACCACTAGCTCTCCAAAGGTTAAGCCACAGTTAATACCTTTCATTTACAAGAGAGTATTACCTTGACAAAAGCTATTCCATTGGGGGACACTGTGATATCATGCCTAATTTGGTAAAGTAAATCTGGAGGTACTCTTAGAGAGGTACAGCCAAATTTGAACTCATCATACCTGTTAAGAAAGAAAATATTAAGCAAATACTGTCTCAAATCATAGAATACAGATTCTAGGCAATTTTAGGATTCCATTAGAAATTCATTTTCAAACATCTAAACATGAATTCACATACTTAGTAATATGTTTGTCTAATTACCAAAATGAAGTTCTCCAAATATTCACAATTAACAGATACATTTCTTAAATGGCACTAACCTAAAATTTATGGGTAAAATCTATTCCGAAATACCAAATTTCAACTTCACATATGATCACCTTACACTAAGTTCCTTAAAAAAAAACTTAAATAAAAAGACTGTAAATAACTTGTCCAAATTTCTGTTCTTAATAAAAAGATGAGACTATCAAAACAATTTCCACGAATGCTTTCTATGAAGGAGTGAGCACACACTAGACTAAAACTGTAACACTTGGTTTTAAACATACAAAAATCATTACAAAGGAAGACTATATTTTCTTACGAGAAAAATATCTACTCCTTTGAGTATTTAAAAGGTTATTCTCATTCAGTTTATAAAATTCAGTTGACATGAAGAAATAAAACCTAACATTTAACAATTTAACTTTTTAAAAAAGTCATAGGCTATTTCTGAGAAAAGTCAAGAGGAGGTGATATCTGGAGTTATAAGATCATAGTCCTCAAACTGTGCCACTGAAAGGTGATTTACATAAACAAACTAAATATAACTCTCATTTAAAAAGAGACCATAGATGCACACGGAGAGTGAAACAGATAAGTTGCAAGGCTGATCTGTTCAGTCTTCTTCGTATGAGTCATCCATCCATGACACTGAATTAGTCATATGGTGATCCATGTCAATTAGTAAGGTAACCACAAAGAACAAATTAGCTGTGCCACAGCCCATTCATCTTGCTCATAAGGATCAGCTCAAGTGCAAAGCAACACTCAAAGAAAGTCTGATTTTAGTAAGAAGTACAAAGCACAACAACATAATTGTAAATATGAAAAAAACTTACTTGCCCAAGTTCTCCACATGGCCAAGGCAGGTGGAAAAACAGTAGTTGTATGCAATCACAATAGAAGGATACAGTGACTGGAAATCCAAAACAAGAACAGAGTTGCTATAGAAGCGAGATTCAGGCTCCATAATTAGGGGAATACACTGTGGGGCTCTCATCTGGGATCTTTGTTGTACACTAGGTGTCACAGGAATATAGTTCATTGGTTTAGCAATACGCAACATCATTGATTCCACACGGTACTGCAGGCAGAGAGGTGGAGGCAGGAAGAGAAGAAACAGTTTAAATATAAATATACTGGTCTTTTGAATATGTGAATTGGTGGATGTTTTGCTCTTCAGAATAAAGATGCATGACTTTCTTACAATAGTTACATAATATTGGTTATTTAGTCAGCTTTCAGGTGCCTGAAGGGGACATTTGTAAATCCTTTTCCTATTCCTGTAACTTTTACAAAAATTGTAAAATATGTCAAATAACTTACACAAGTCAATTTTGAAAAGATAGACACAATTAGATTTCTTCTTATATTTAAATACAGCTATATCATAACAGATGCAGGAGAGACAGATGTATAGTTCGACAATTTCATTTAAAAAGGTGGCTAAGGGGCCGGCTCCGTGGCTGAGTGGTTAAGTTTGCGCGCTCCGCTGCGGCGGCCCAGGGTTCAGATCCTGGGCACGGACATGGCACCGCTCGTCAGGCCACGTTGAGGCGGCGTCCCACAGCCCACAACTAAGACGTGCAACAAGATATACAACTGTGTACAGGCGGGGTTTGGGGAGATAAAGCAGAAAAAAAAAAAAAAAGATTGGCAACAGTTGTTCACCCAGGTGCCAATCTTGGGGAAAAAAAAGGAAGACAGGCAACAGTTGTTAGCCCAGGTGCCAATCTTAAAAAAAAAAAAAAAAAAAAGGCGGCCAATAGTCTTTGAGAAATTTATGTGGGAAAATCAGAGAATGAAAGTCAGGAGACTTGAGATAGATAAATGATGTTATTCCAATTTTCCAAGAAGAAAACTCAAGGATTCCAGAACTGAAAGGTAGTCAGCTTAATACTAGTCCCTTGAAAAACTGAAACAATTACTGATTGTTTATAATAACCACTATTAAGAAGACGGTCTAGAGCATTAGGGAAAAGAAGCACTCACAGGAAGGATGGGCTCACTGAAACGTTCTCATGCGCTTTTAAGGTATCTTTACCTTTTATCATAAGCCAGCTCAAATAGTTTTTAAAACTTGTGGGGGTCTAGATAAATAAAATAAATAGCTTATACGTGAGAAACTTAAATAAACAGGTAATGTTAAAGTAGGTAAGCTCTATTTTTTCTATAGTTATTGAATTGGTAGGTTGGGGGAATGCCACAGACATAAAGTAATTAAAATAATTAAAATAAAAGATTTTATGAGGTTAAGGAACCTGAGTGATTTAATGTACTATCTCTGATGCCTAGCATAGTGTTTATTTAACATACCAAAGGTATGCAAATAACTATTTGTTGAATGAATGCATGAAATAATTTTCAGTGAGACAATTGACAAAATCTTTCATTATATCCTTGGAAAATTAGTTAGAAAGATATGAATTAAATGTCCTCCAAGGTCCCATTTTTCATTAATGTTTTAAAAAAGTGATACAGCTCACTCATATTAATTCCCAAATCCTTCTCTCTTTTTATTCTTTAGAGTTGGAACAACTCAAAATTAGGAATGTAAAACAAAAGAAAGGCCGATTTTCTTCGCTGCTTACTCGGTTCTAAGGAGCATCCCTAATCACACTGACAATATTCAGGAATATAATATCTTCCTCAAGGGCACAGTCATGTTTTCCTTAATACCAAGAAAAACTTAGCAGTGGCCAGAAAGTTGGTAAGGAGAAAAAATAAAAAGTGGAGCTGTTAAGTGAAATTAAAGCTTTTCCAGAAAATAACATGACAAGATTTGATTAACCAGTTTTATCTTAGTTGGTATCAGATAGAAAGTTAAGAAAATAAAATGACCTTAAGCATTTCAAAAGTAAGTATATCAGTCACATAGAACTTTCAAGTGTGTAAGAAAATGGATTTCCTACCTGTGAGCCCCTTGTCAATACATGTAAAAACTGAATGCCAAAAAGTCTAGCCATTTCACTGGTTTTCCCAATCACGTCCAGCTGTTCTAACATTTGGAGATTTCCACGGACACGGCTAATGTAATGATCAACCATTTTCCATCTGTTAAAAGAGAATCCATGCCATGAATATTAGGGAAAAATTTGGACACTTGAAACTATTACTGCTTCATTCTTCCAGAACCTACATGTTAAAATCGAGGTTATTTAAGGAGGGAGTCAAGGTAGGAGCCCCTAGCAAAGTATGTTAAGGAGCTAAACATCAGAAAATTTTGGATGTTTCAAGGGCATGAAACCTAGTAAAACTACACAAAATTTAAAAGAGTACTTGTGATAAGGTGGTAAGACTAATTATTTTCAATATTTTTCTTGATGTTACTCTATTTTTATTATAAAAATTAACATTCTCTCTTAGATACCATTGCTGATGATGCAATAATAATACAATTATAATTTATCATTTCTATAGGTTTTTAAAGAACTTGAAGACTTTGGGTTACCATTGAAAATACCAGTCTAAAATAAAAGCATGAACAATCTCCTCATGGAAAGAAACAGGGTAATTTGGTGAATATTTAGAAAAATCCCAAAATAATTTTAATGAGACCATACATGGGCTAAATATACATCAAATCAGTATTTTCTGGGAAACTATAAATATTCTGCTCTTTGATTTAAGCCTTGTAAAAGATTAACCTCTTTACTCTACCATTTTTGTTAAGAAAACATGCAAACAACAAAAACCTTCACCAAAGCCATGAAAGGAAATTTTGATTTAATATGATTATGTTATTAAAATGTAAAAATGATCCTAAGGTATACTATAAAGAATAAAATTTATTCATTTAAAGAATATTAACATTTAAATATATTGTAATCTTTAATTATATGGCTTTTAGAAGAATATAGTCACATAACTGTTCAATAAAAAAAGTTTAAAAACCTATTCCTATGATATATGACTAATCCATATAGAAAAACTAGAAAATGAACATAAAAAGAAGAAAAAAATCTTTTACTGTATAATTAAAAAGACAGATAATGAGTGTTAAGCAAAGATGCAGAGAAATTATAACCCTCATACACTGCTGGTGGGATTATAAAATAGTGCAGCTGTGTTGGGAAACAGTCTGGTGATTCCCCAAATTATTATCATCTTATTTATTTATCTTTTTCAGGAAGATTAGCCCTGAGCTAACATCTGCTGCCAATCCTCCTCTTTTGGCTGAGGAAGACTGGCCCTGTGCTCACATCCGTGCCCACTTTCCTCTACTTTATATGTGGAACACTTACTACAGCACAGCTTGCGAAGCGGTGCCATGTCCACACCCGGGATCTGAACCCGCGAACCCGGGGTTACTGAAGCAGAACATGGGCACTTGACCACTGCACCACTGGCCCGGCCCCTCCTCAAATTATTAAACACAGAGTTACCATATAATCCACCAATTCCACTCCTAGGCATATATCCAAGAGGAATGAAAACATGTCTACATAAAAACTTGTACACGAATGTTCTTAACAGCATTATTTGTAATAGCCAAAAAATGGAAATAACCTAAGTGTCTATCAAGTGATAAAATAAAAATAAATGAATAAATAAAATGTGGCACACCCACACAATGGAATATTATTTGGTGATAAAAGGAAATGAGGTACTGACATATACTGTAACATGAATGAATCTGGACAGCATATGCTAAAACAAGCTAGTCACAAAAGGCTAATATTATGTAATTCTACTTATATGAAATGTCCAGAATAGACCAATTTATGGAGACCGACAGTAGATTAGTTGGGGGGAGGGTGGGAAGGGAGGATTGGAGAGTGACGGCTAAGAGATGCAGGATTTCTTTTTGGGGTAATAAAAATACTCAAAAATGTATTGTGCTAATGGTTGCACAACTCTGAATATACTAAAAACCATACAACTTATACACTTAAATGGGTTAATTATATGGTATGTGAACTATATGTGAATAAGACTGTTAAAAAGAATTAGGCAAACATAAAAAACCATCCTAAACTTATTATCAATATGCAATTTTTTAATAAAATAGACAAATGGAACTACTGTTCTTGCATTTTTAACTTAATATATTGCTACTATTTCTGCTTATTTTTTATAGCTATTGAGTATACTATTGTACAATTATCACAACTTAATTAATGGATCTATTATTATCTTTTATTACTCTGAGCAACACTGTGATGAACATCTTTATAGCTAAGTCCATGTACAGATGCTTAAATATTTAAGATAAATTCCTAGATTTGGTTAATGGGTCTGCTATGATTTAGTTTTTAATACATAATGACATGCTGCTTTCTAGAAGGTTTTAGTAATTTACATTCATACTAGTGATGATAAAGTGCTTGCTTCCTTGCAGCTTTGTCAACACTGGGGAGTATAATTTTTTAAGTTATAACTAGTTTGATAGGCAAAAAATTGTATCACATTTTAATATGTATTTGTCTTAGATTATTAATGTAATCCTTCAATAATACAGATTTGCCAAATGTAAATCTGAGATAATGCATTATGTGTGGCTTTGGCCAGTCCTTTTAAACAAAATCAAATGCATTTAATGGCTCATCCTTTCTGCAGATTATGTGAATGGTCAATGACCTGTCTGGAGTTTGCTGATTCCTTCTTCTGCTTGATCGAGTCTACTGTTGAATTCCTCTAGTGAATTTTTCAGTTCAATTATTGTGTTCTTCAGCTTCACGATTTCTGTTTAGTACTTTTTCATATTTTCTATTTCTTTGTTGAAATTCTCACTTTTTCCATGCTTTGTTCTCTTGGCCTTGATGAGCATCTTTATGACAGTTATTTTGAATTCTCTGTCAGGTAAATCATATGACTGTTCAATTAGGGTTGGTTTCTGGAGATTTACCTATTCCTTTGTTTGGCACATCTTTGCCTGATTCTTTATTGTCCTTGACTCTGTGTTGGTGTCCCACATTATATAAAGCAGGCATTTCTCACAGTCTTCATGGACTGGCCTTGTACAGGAGAAGACTTCCACCAAACAGCTCAGCCAGAGATTCTGGAGACCTCTACCAACTCTTTCCCTCCCTAGGGAGAAGCAGGCAGCTGTGGTTTTTGTTCACTCACTCTGCTGTGTAGCAAGAAGAGTTACAGTGTCTGCTAGTTCAACCCACTGTCCTCATTCTCCAGCAGCTAGACTGTGCCAGACCTGTTGGAGCTCCAAGACCAGAAACACAAATCCCAGTTTTTTGGGTAGCCTTGGAGAAGTTGGGGCACTAAATGCATGGATCAACTCTTTCTCTCCCCAGGGATAAGCTGAGAACTGGAATTTTTCATCCACTTGCTCTGTGCTGAGCAGGGGGGGAAGATCTGTGGTGTCTACCAGCCCATGCTGCCATTTCCATTCGGCTCTGCCAGCTGGACTGTACTGGATCTGTCAGAGCCCCTTCAGAAAAGCTGGGGTGCCAGGCATGCAAACCAATCCCTTCCTTCCCCTGGGCTGAGCTAGGGGCCATTTCCTGATCACATGACTCTGAGCCGGGGCAGGGACTCTGGCAAGAGGGTGTCCCAAATCTCCCTACCAGCTTTGGTGAGTCTGATTCTACATTCACCCTGGGAGCAGGAGCCTTTCAATTAGTTCCTGGATTTTGCATAAAGGAAATATGTCTGTAAATTGTTGCTCAATCAGTGTGTTTGTGGGGAGAAGGAGGGTCCAGGGCTTCCCACTCTGCCGTCTTGCTGACGTCACTCCGTATCTTTCCTAATACATATTTTTTAAGCATTTAAAAAGTAGACATTTTAAATTAAAAAAGTGATCCTTTTGAAATAAGATCACCTTCATTCCTACTTTCTAGTCCTATCTGGCTAGTCATGTGGTATAAAAAGAGAATGGGTATTGTAACTTTTTAAAAAATAAACATAGCATGGGGCTGGCCCCGTGGCCGAGTGGTTAAGTTCGCGCGCTCCGCTGCAGGCGGCCCAGTGTTTCGTCGGTTCGAATCCTGGGCGCGGACATGGCACTGCTCGTCAGACCACGCTGAGGCAGCGTCCCACATGCCACAACTAGAGGAACCCACAACGAAGAATACACAACTATGTACCGGGGGGCTTTGGGGAGAAAAAGGAAAAAATAAAATCTTAAAAAAAAAAAATAAAATAAAAAAAAAATAAACATAGCATGACTAAGCGAATCTTGTTAGGTAATTTTTTGTTTGCTATACAGAATTATGCCATCCTCCTAACACTTTGTCAAACTCAAATGTACCAAGCAAATACAAGTTTTGATTGGGGAAGAGGAGGGGAAACATCATCACAAAACATAAGCTACTCAGGAGAGGCCTGGCTAGAAGCTGAAATGGTTGAACTTAGAGCATCTTGAGGGAAGAGGGTATTTTAGGGGACAGAATATCTGGGAAGAAGGTGACAAAAAAGGAGATATGAGAATTCTAAGTACAACCTCACTGGTTTTGAACTTTTTCTATGGGTTGGCTCTATACCCAGGAAATGAAGGAAATTTCTGATATTACCTTCTTGAACTACATAACCCTCTGCTTCTAGGACATTGCTCCTAGCTCAGAAACAGGTATAGTATTCAATAACTAGTTATTGCATAGTGGATGAAATCAGGACACTATTACGGTTTTCTAGATCAGTAATATTAGGGATTAGGAAAGGTTTTATAAGCTGATTTAGAATTCTAATCATGAGACATACCATTTGGAAAAATGTTTTCTAAGTCCCAAACAATAAAACTTTGGGAATATAACTCAATTCATATAAATCAAAGGCTTCCAAGAGACCCAAATCTGAGCTTACAAAAACAAAATAATTAGGGCACCTTCTGTAAAGCAGAAGCTTTCATTTCTCAGTGAATTTACAAAAAATATATATATTTCCTTAAAACATTGTAGAAAGCAAATTCAAATTAAAAAGTATGACTTACTTTCTTAGTAAGAATTCACTTAAGTTTAAAAATAAATTGTCTGATCTTCCAAAGTATCTCCAAAGAAAGAGTGCATGGTCTCTCCATGTAACAATCCATTTAACATGAATGCACTAATGTCTAGTCCAAGCCCCTTATGTAGTATGTTAGGTCCAGCTCTCTATTTCACGTGGCAAAACAGAATTACTTATCATTCTAGATAATACCTAATTAGAGGTAGCAAAATATGCATTTAGAGCATTCTAGGGCCTATAAACAAACTGCTGAATATAGTTTTCACTAAAGTTAATATCAAGTTACATTTTATTTATTGGTATATAATCTCTCCTAAGCTTCTATTTGTATAAAGCTCTGATCATAAACTCAGAGCTTTCTGTGATTTTATCTCACTTTCTTGAGATTCCTCAAAAGAGATTAGAGAATCAGATGACGTGCTCAGAAAGTAGTTTCCCCAAATATATCAAGTCATTTTTAAGGCTCTACCTTTCCATCTTCACCACTGTGTGGCTGTACAATTCAATAAGCAGAGCTTTATTCATCTCAAACATCAGACACATTCTCTTCAGGACTTTGCTCTTTACAGAACTATTTTCTAAGCTTATAACTATCATTTTAACTTTAACTTAAAGGAAAGGTGGGAACTTTCACTTCTGACTATGATGGAGTAACTGGTACTGGACTAGCCTGGACAAAAGATACAATGTATTTGTTTCTGGGCAATAAACACTAGGCAATGCAAGACTGTGCTCCTTGAGAGAAGGGAAAACTCATGACATGAACTCCAGCCCGTGTGGAGACAGTTTCCTAAACATAGTGCAGTATGATAGAGTCTGAATAGAGCATGGGTGGCCTGCTAGGCTGAGGAGGCAGAGATTAGAGTCCAGGCAGTTCACAGCTGGAATCTGCAGGACAGGGCACCTGTGCAAGGGGCAGGAGTTAGTGGTCGGAAGTACAGCTAGGGGTTCCCTGTGAGTGCCGGGCTGTGCTGAAATGAGCAGGATGAATCCACATGAGGGTTACTAGAGAGCAGCTGCTGTGGGCTTGGGTTTGGAAGAGAACTAGTCAGATAGTGCTGCAGTTGGAGGCTAGGAATGCCAGAGTGGAGAGACTTCATTACCCCCTTATTAACAACCTGGGCATCCAGCTGAGAGCCCAGAAAAATCATGCCTTTAGAGGCCTTTGCCCTAGAGTAACGCCTACTCTAGACAAACCTGAAACTAGGCACTAACAATACGCACTTGGGACAGCATTTGGAGATGGAGTCCTGTCAAGTTGGAGGGGCTTAGGAAACATCACGGGCTTTCCAGAGATCTACCTTAACAAAGCACAATATCTAGGTCTGCACAGGTTCAGAGAACAGCTAATAATTGAATTGACTACTAGAGCAAAAATAAACAGAATTCAGAGGAAGATAACAAAAATCCAGAATCTGTGCAATAGAACATCTACAATATCCATTACATAATCATGCAAATAAACAAAAGATATGACCCACGGTTAAGAGAAAAAGCAATAAACAGAAACTAACACAGAGATAGCCTGACGTTGGATTTAGTAACTATTATAGATATGTTCAAGAATCTAAAGAAAATAACACTCAAAAAATAAAAGAAAAATATAGTCCTAGTGTGTGAACAGACAGGGAAATTCACCAAATATGGAATCTATAAAAAGAAAGAACCAAATGAGAATTCTGGAACTAAAAATACAATAACTGGAATACAAAATTTATTGGCTGGCCTTAATAGCAGATTGGCAAAGACAGAAGAAAGTTAGTGATCTTAAACATAGGTCATTAGAAAAAAGACTGAAGAGAAAGGTACAGGGCCTCAAGGATCTGTGAGACACTGTCAAACAGTCTAACATAGGGGCTGGCCCAGTGGCGCAGCAGTTAAGTTTGCATGTTTCGCTTCTTGGCAGCCCAGGGTTCGCTGGTTCGGATCCTGGATGCGGACATGGCACCACTTGGCAAAAGCCATGCTGTGGCAGGTGTCCCACATATAAAGCAGAAGAAGACGGGCATGGATGTTAGCTCAGGGCCAGTCTTCCTCAGCAAAAAGAGGAGGGTTGGCAGTAGTTAGCTCAGGGCTAATCTTCCTGAAAAAAAAAAAAAAGTCTAACATACACGTAATTGGAGCCTTAGAAAGAGAGTAAGAGTAGGGGCATAAAAATATTTAAAGAAATAATAACCAAATATTTCCTAAATTTGATGAAAAACCTCAATTTAAAAGACCTAAGAAGCTCAGCAAACAACAAGAAAGATAAATATAACAATAAAAAAAATCTACTTCTAGGAATATCATAGTGAAATTACTGAAAGCCAAAGGCAAAGAGAAAAATCTTGAAAGCAACTAGGAAAAAAAATTATGGAGTTCTGCTTTGGATGTAGAAAGCTGCAGAAGAACATCACTCTAGTCTAACAATGATAAAAAGCTGGATAATCTACAAAATCATAAGTTTTCTTGAAGTCATCAGAAAACTGAAGTTACAAGAGAATCAGGTGAACTAAATTTCATAGGGTGACAAACTCATCTAAGGACAGGCAGGACACAACCTATTTCATCTGTGGCAGAACATAGGAGGGAGAGGCAGCTGCCATAAAATTAGGTAAGAATGAAACAGTTAAAATGTTAACAAATTCTTAAAGGTCATGTAGGGGCTAGCATGACCGTTTAGAATCACTTGGAGCCCCAGATACCAGCACAGTCTTTTTCCATGGACCCCCACCAAATGCTTGTGAAAGACTGGGGGTGGGGCAGGAGAGAGCACAAAGAAATGAAACCCCGCAATTTCCTCTGACCCTTCTCTCATATGAAGCAAAGCTTTGAGGTGCTATGGGACCAGTAGGAGACTCTCCAATCCTCAGGGAAAGAATAGACGCAAAAGATGTCTGCTGCTGGGAAGAGGGGTAGCAGCAAAAGCTACACATGAGGGAGGGGAAGGAAACTAGTTTCAACTGTGGGCTTTGTACTAAGCAGCAAGCAACAACTGTGCACCACTGGGAAAGAGGCAGGAAACCTTCCCAACATAGATTTCAGGGAAACATACACTACCGCTGAGAAGGGAGTAGAAGCAAACACCATTTTCCACTGAGAGAGTCAAGAAACCTGCCTAGGGCCAGGACCTGGCATGGTACAAAGCAGAAGTCCATCACTGCTGTAGGAAGAGCAGGAAAGCTGAGAAGGCCTCATTCCTGAGCTCCAGGAGAAGAGGAACTTCCAAGGATGACTAACTTCAGTCAGAAGTGAGAACTGAATAACTTCCCCTGCCTCCACACAGAGTAAAAGCAGCAGTCAACCAACCGTTCGTTAAGCCTGACTTTGAAAAAAAATGCATTGCATACAGTGGAAAAATGAGAATGACTGTTGTTTCTCATCAGAAACAATGGAGGACAGAAGAAAAGGGAATGAAATCTTTAAATTGGTGGGGTAAAAAAAAATCTCAACCCCAAAATTAGACATTGAAAATATCATTCAAAAGTAAGGGCAAGATAAAGACATTTTCAGATAAATAAAGGCTGAGAGAATTTGTTGCCGGCAGACTTGCACTAGAAGAATTGCCAAAGAAAACAATTTAGCAGTGTCTTAACATGTTAAACATGCTAACCATGTGACCTGGCAATTCTACTGCTAAAGAAATGAAAACGTATGTTCACACACACGAAGACTTGCCTTACAGTTTTATTCATAGTAGCCTCAAACTATAAACAACCCAATTGTCCATCAACAGGTGACTGGGTAAATAGTGGTACGTTCATATGATTGAATATTATTTAGTAATAAAAATGAACAAAATACTGGTTTATGCAAAAACATGACTGAATCTCAAAAAATATTATGCTACAGTTTCCTGGTGGTCTAGTGGCTAGGATTCAGTGCTTTCAAAAAACATTATGCTGAGTTTCTTCAACGAAGTCAGACACAAAGGGGTAGACTGTAAATAATTCTATTTATACGAGGTTCTAGAACTGGCAAAACTAATCTATAGTAATAGAAATTCAACTAGTACTTATGTGGGTGGTTCAGGAATAGGTAGGTTGACTGCAAAGTTGTATAAGGAAATTTTCTGGGTGTTACAAATGTTCTTTACCTTGATCAAGATACTGGTTATAAGGTATTTGCATTTTTCAAAGTTATCACACAATACACTTCAAATGTGTGCATTTTATTGTATATAAATTATATTCCAACAATACTGATTTTTAAAAAGAGATAGTATCCTCTTGAGAGTTATAAAACATTACCTGTATAGATCTGTCTTGTTATCAAACCAATCTGATAAGACTCGGAAGGTAAAGAGGGGAAAACGCTGATGAAGAACGTGAAAGCTCACATTTTCAAAGGTGTAGTTAGTTAGAGCCACCTGAAAAAAAGCAAGACTCTATTAGAATAATGCTTGTATTTATGTGCAAATTTGGTTCTAAAAGACCCCAAATATTACTTCTAACATTTTATAGTAGATATGGAAGGTACTTATAAAAATGATTTGTGTTATAACTGAATCATAATTAATTTAAAGCTATGGCTATATAGCCTACTGGACAGAAATGTTTATAATAAATTAATATTTAATTGGAAAAAATCAGACTTGATGAGATTCAACTTGGTCATGTAATACTTAAGAGATCCCAGTTCTTATCATGTCTTTTTATAGTCTAGGCCAATACAAATACTGACAGACAGAAGCCCTGTTAAGCAAACTAATTTTTTGTTCCTTCCTACTTACCTTTTGGTCCTTGATGACAGGCTGCTTAACAGGACTCCACAGATTCAAGGATGTGTTATCTAGTTAAAGGCAGGCATTCATCCTGCTCCCAAGAATTACATCAGTACTAAGACCCAATACATGGACATTATGGAGTCACTTAACTTTCAGTCCAAAAGCAAAAGATTAAAAAGGAAATGGCAGAAATGTTTCCCCAACTTCAGATCATGTAGGTAAAAGTTGTGTTAATAATGGGAAAGGAATACTGAAAAAGGGTCCAAATTAATAAAACATACCTCTAGCTAGATGATCTCTCAGAAATACCTATAAGACACAAGCAATCTAGACAATGGTAGGTATTTCAATGCAAAATGGAAATTAAGGAACCCGTAGTCCCCATTCTTAGGTCAGCTTGAGATTCTGAGGAATAGTTCAAATAGTACTTTACATTTGTATATTATATTATAACTTTAAAACATTTTTCTTTTCCACTTCTACAATCCAGCAAGTAGAAAACCGGGAGTGAACATTAAGCTCATCTAAGTGCAGTGACCCAAATTAGTCTTGATGTACAATTTCTATCACTCTCCAGGACGACAGCATTGGAAAGTAGCATACTTCAGAGTGTGTCTGTGTACTCACTCACACACACACACACACACACACACACTCACAGTTTTAAACATTGGAATGAGCTTATTCTAGAGTCACCAGTATAAAGCAGATACTAATCCATTATCTTAGAAGTAAATTACCATTTCTTTCCCAAAAATCACTACTGGCCTGGAGTACTTCTCTCAAAAATAAATAACTCATTTTATTATCAAGTCCCAATATTTGAATGGCTCTTCTACCTGCTAATGAATATTTTCATTTAGTTTTTTGTATTTAATTTCCATTTAGTATTACAGAAAATAGAGCCAAACATCTGATCTCAGGCTGTTACATCATTACCTAATATAGAGGATAGCACTTGAGCCTAAATCTAAACTTCTGCCACAGTATATATCTTCATTAAAACAATCAATCAAAAACATATCTACAGAAAAGATCCCCTTGTCCTGTAGCTCTCTCCTGAGGGAAAAATCTGAAGTTTGCCATGTAAACTGACCTATTAAGATTAACTAGGGGATTTTGTGACCTCAAATAAAATCTTAGAAATTGGTCCCTAATATCTGAGGCAGATGGAGACCTATGTTCTGGGTTGATTTTATTTCAAATAGAACAATTTCATAAATTGGATTAAGACTAAACAAGTATTATAACCTTATAACACCCACTCTACTTTGGGTTTCCTTGGTGTCACAAAAGCATAAAAATGCACAGCTGTAATCTCAGCTGTGAGTAAAATTAAAGGAAGGAAACATAAACTCTAAAATTAAGATGCCTCATCTTCAGAATGTTGCAATCTTTAGAGAGCGATTTACTCTAGAAGTCGAAATATGAACCTAAAAATATGAATTAGGAGTTGGGGGGAAGTCTGAATAAGTTAAAAATTGGATAAATGTACTATGTAGATCAAAGTCAGAATTGATCAATAAATCAACAAAATGTTACAGTGTTGGTCCATTTATCCTATTGATAAAAGGAATGGGCTGACTTAGAGGGATCACTTTTCCATTCATAGAGTCAAAGTGCAAAACATAATGGTTAATGACTTTGGAAACAAACTTCCTCAGAACTGGGAGAGGCACTCAGAGTATTAGTGCAGGGGAGTAAAGAAAATAAAGGTGAAAGGAAAAAAAGGGAAGGCAACCATAACTAAGCACCTGTGCCCTACATCCTCTAACACCTTATTCCTTCAGTTGTTCCTCATTTCCTGAGTCTTCAACTAAAAATTATTTTTGATTGACATATACTGCATATAAAGAAATGTCCACAAATTTAAAGTGAACAACTCATGAATTTTCATGTTTGCATACATTCATGTAACTATCACCCATATGAAGACATGGGAAATTTTAGGACTCTGGAAGGCTCCCTTGTGCAGGCCCTGTCCCAGTCAATACTTATGAAAGTTAACCACTGTAGGTTAGCCTTGCTTATTTTTAAACTTTATAATAAATGGAACTAGTTATTATGTACTATTATTTATCTAGTTTCTTTTGCTCAACATTACATCTGAGATTCATCTATGTTGTTCAATGTGGCAATATTTTATTCTTCTTAATTGCTGTAAGGTATTCCTTTGTTACAGCTGCTTACCCTGTACTCTAATATGCACCAATTATTTGCTGAGAAGTCTGTGTTTTCTAGAGTGTTAGAGTGTTGTTTGACAGCAAGAATATCTTTGTCACCACACTCCCCCAGCCCCCAAGACACAACAGTCATCTCTTTTCCTCTAAATGTATATACCACTGATGTCTCATTTGGCTCTTATATGGTGCCTATAAGGTCAGTGATAGATGCCCTATCAAAGCCATATAATATATTTAGGAGATCTATAGATACTATAACTATACACACACATACATACACATATACACACACCCTCACACACTCATTCTGAACATGCTCTCTGTCGTCAGAGAGCTTATTATATATTTTATACATATTTTATTTTACATATGCTTAAAATATACAACAAACTCTCTCAGGACAGAGAGCATGCCCACAATGAGCCTGAGTCTTGATCCCATACTAGCTGTGAGGTTTCAGGCAAGTCACTTATCCTCTGTGAACTTCAGTTTCCTCAATTAGAATGACACCTCACTACTTTGTTGTCTTACTTATGCTGCAACTTTGTGACTATCAAAATTTTAAAATGATGAGTCTGTAAAAGTGCCTTATAAATGATAAAGCAATATATGAATGCAAGGGAGTATATCATTTTACCTCTTTACATAATCTTCATTGCCCATCACAGTGTCTTAATTTTAAAAAGCACCTGAAACATGCTTATTGACAGACTGAAACCATAATAGAGAGTATCAGAACCAGATTCTAATGTTACCAAACTGAGATAATGTGAGGCTTCGATGCATGCACAGAAGCATCTGACCTTCCTAGTGACTGTTGGGAGTGTTCTCTCCCAGTTCCTCATTATCTTATCTGACTACTCTTTCTTAGGATCTGATTCCTCTGTCTACTCCTCAAAATGTTTTCCTTCACAAAAATGTTGTCCTTGGCTGAGTCCTGATGGCTCTCTCCATTCACTTTTTGCTGAGGTCATTCACTCTCATGTGACTTACAAGGCAGTATCTCTAATCCAGACCTCTACCCCATATGTGGGACATTCCTATTGAAATGTCTGTGGGTATCTTCACCTGGATATTTGACTGATACCTCATGCTCTGTATTCTTAAAGCATCATTTTCCCACCTAAACATGATCTTAAACTATCTATGCCAGAACCCCGAAAATCATTCTTGAAACCTCTTCTTCTTCATCTTTTTGTACATCCAGTTCTTGTGGATTTATCCTCTAAATTGTTTTTTGAATCCCTACACCACTGCCAACTTTCATTTGGGCTACCCTAATAATGTTACTGGTTTCCTAACCTTTGGTCTTCTCCCCTCCTGCACTGCCATCAGAGACAGGTCTCAGACGTAAATTCACATGTCACTATCTCTACCCCACCTTAGCCACCCACTCCCAAGATCATACTTCAATATCTATAACCACCAATGACTGTATTCCCTCCATAATCTCATGCATCCCATTCTCTGACCACCATGTCCTATCCTTCCAGTTTACTCCCTCTGGTGCCGCAACCTCTCTTTGCTCCTTATCTAGCTCAAATTCCACAGTCGATCATTATAATCACAACTTTGCACATACTATTCATTTCTTTGCCCCTCTGCTGCTTTATTTGTAATTAACGAAACTTTAGCAAAGCCATAACCCTTTGCTTGCGACTTGTGGTCAAATCTAACCCTCTGTTACTCTCTACTTAGACCTGTGAATGTGAACGTAGCTGGCAGGTATCTCTTTAATTTCCTGATACAAATCTCAAATGGGCTCCCAGTGCTGCCTAGCTTTTATACTATAGTTTCTGCATTAACCACTCTCAAATTCTCCTAGATAACTTTCACACTTTTCTCTCTTCAAACCCCAAAAGCCCCCCCACTATGCGCACTCTCAGCTGAGCACAGTGATTCCTATTTCACTGAGAAAACTGAAGCAATGAGAAGAGAACCTCCACAGATTCTCACTGGCACATCTACCCACCTACCAACATCGGCACCCACAGAATCTGCCTTCCTGCCTGTTAAAATAGAGGAGCCAGCTATACTCTTACTGCTATAAACCCAGGCCCAAACGTGTGTCCTAGAGATGGAACTCAATAAATACTTGTTGAATTAAATCAGATCTGTTCCCAACCTACTTGGCAAATTCTTGAAAGGCCTGGATTAAGCTGATACCCAGAAGGCCTTTAAATATAATCTTTAATCTTCTGGGGAAGAGTCATTCTTTCATTCAAGCAGTCAACAAATATATTATGAGCACTATTTTTGTTACTGAGGATTTAAAGTCCAGGGGAATAGCAGTAATTCTATGTTAAAGTTAACCAGGAGAGTGAAAACTAGCATATTAAAAAACAAATTTTAGGGGCCAGCCTGGTGGCGCAGTGGTTAAGTGCACACGTTCTGCTTCAGCGGCTTGGGGTTCACCATTTTGGATCCCGGGTGCAGACATGGCACCGCTTGGGACACCATGCTGTGGTAGGCATCCCACATATAAAGTAGAGGAAGATGGGCATGTATGTTAGCTAAGGGCCAGTCTTCCTCAGCGAAAAGAGGAGGATTGGCAGCAGTTAGCTCAGGGCTAATCTTCCTCCAAAAAAACCCATAAAACAAAATAAAACACCAACAAATTTTATTAAACCCAAACTAGGCATAGAAAAAAGGATAGCCATTCAATTGTAAACTGTGTCTGGGGAATGCAACTGCTGTGTACATGTCCTAGAGAGAACAAGGAGATTGCACTTTCATTTTACATACTCTTCTGCATTTATTTTGTCTTTTTTATAGTGCACAGGAACTATTTTTAATAAAGAGCATATTGTAAAAACAAACTGTTAAGATTTAAAAAACAATAATAGAGTCAGAAACTGCTAAGTGTCATGAAGGAGACACAGATAAAAGAAATAAGGATAAAAAGGAGCTTTTGGAACTGCTTAAATCCAGAAAAAATAGTTTGCGGGCCTCTAACATGCAGAAAATTCTCAAGGCCAGCTGACAAAGATCAGAGATAGAAAATATTCAGCCTAGAATTAGAGAAAGGCTTTGACCCTGAATTTTCAGTAAGGACTACAGAAAGCCCTAAACTTTGAAAAAGTACTTACTCTCTAATTTGTGATTTTAAGCTAATAGTGGATAATTGCTACAGCTGCCTTTGGATTGTCAAGGATGAAAACACCCCTGAAATTAAGATTCAATAATTTAATTTTGTGTTTACATACTTAATGTATGCGTTCGTCCCAGGCATTATTAGAGACTGCAGTTTGGAATATATAATGGAATACACAAACCAAATATACCACAATCTCTCTACTTTGCATATCCTATCTCTGTCACTAGGAATTATTTTGAAGTCACTGGAGATTCTTGTGCTCTGATAACATTTTAAGAAGAAAACAATAGGATAAAATTATCTTCAAGCAGATACATATATTGTACATTTTTGAATTAGATGAAATGTGAGCATAACTTTAGGCTCATGGTGGGGAGAGGAAATAAAAAGAAAAATGAGAATACCTGAATTTTATATAAAGAACTTATTTCCTTATCTGAAAGAATTACTGTGTTATAGTGCCCAAAAGAACTGCAGAGGGTATGTACGGAAAGTCAAATGTTTTATATAAATCTAGAAGAGCCAGAAAGATCATAGTGAATATTTGCATATAATAGAAAATGTATAATGAGAAAGTAGTTTCAAAGAGAAACAACTGAAGAGCTTCTTTTAAATATAAACATTTTATCTGATATTATCCAAAGTTCAAAACCTGAGAATGGACCAACTTACAGTAGGCATCTTTTTTACATTTCAATAAGAGAAATCAGGCAACTTCAAGGACGTAAATATGACCTAGGACCCTATGATCTCACATTTTTAGTGAAAGAATTATTTCTCTGAGTTATTGTAAATTAGTAAGATACAATCACACACCACATAATGACGTTTCAGTCAATGACGGACTGCATATTCGATGGTGGTCCTGTAAGATTAGTATCATATAGCCTAGGTGTGTAATAGGCTATATCTAGGTTTGTGTAAGTACATTCTATGATGTTCACACAACTACGCAATTGCCTAACGACGCATTTCTCAGAATGTAACCTCATCGTCAAGCAACTCGTGACTGTAGTTTGGTGAAATTTATACCACCAAAATCCTTATCTGAGCCCCCAAAGCCTCAACTGGATGCTCCTATTAACTATTTCGAAATTCTCTCTTTCCAATTTACCTTATACACCAGACCCAGTTTTTAAATATCCTTAGTTCAAAAAGTTCTTTCCTATGTTGAGAATAAATTTTTCTTACTGTAATAAATCAAAAAAGCCAAGCTATATTCATCTGGATTTAAGTGCAAAAATGATTCAAGTGCAAAAAATGATGAAATTATACAACATTCAACACACACAACATAATATTTTATGATAGCTATAGACTTTTCTAGCTACTGCTACTTTAGACACAAATAGAAAAAAACTAAAATTCATCAATAATACTAAATACTTTTGTAGCTTTGCATTTTAAAAAGCAGAATTTATTTCTGTAACTAATTAAGTATAATAAAAATAATTCACAAAGAAGCATAAGTTATATAGTAGTATACTAACACTCTATAATTATTAAAATCGTTATATTGATCTAATCTGTTTCCAAACAAAATATTACATAAAGCACCTTACCTCATTTTTCATGATTCTCCAAAGATTCAGCGTAATTCGGCCAACAATATTTATCTCACTCATTGTATCTGATCCATACTCATCTCTTTCAGCTGCAAATCTGTTCTCAATTTTGTCATCTACAGAAGTAAATATGGGTTGCATCAGGACTCACAGAGACCAAATTTCCAAGCAAATTTTGCCAAAGAAAATGAGAATAATAAAGATTAAAGATGAAGATTAAAGATGAAATGTAACTCACAGTCTGTTTTGTATCAGACTTTGAGAATAATCATTATTTTGACTAATAAAACTTTTCTTTTTTCTTGAAGTTATGAAAGAATTTTGTGAAATAAATGTATCTGAAAACTATGTATTTTTTAAATTAAAAAATGTAGATACACACACATGTAGTTTTAAAACAATAAACCCTTTCCTCTTTAAGTTTGGTAATTTCTGGCACTATTTTTACAAACTCCTAATGCCACAGCATTTCTTTGATGTTAGGATGAAAAATGTTTAAGTTAAACTGATAATTTCTTGGGAAAAAATGGTAGAGTTTTTAACCCAAACAATTTTCTGAAAATCTGCTGACATCAGTTAGTGATGTTCATATTTAGGATGAAATTCTCTTAACTGTGTATGGAGAACTAGATGAAGAGTTCCTCTTACAACAAACAGAGTTCTGAGTCTAGTTTCTTAGGTGATGATTTTACCTAGAAAAGAAACTAAAATGTGTTTCTCTTATATAACACTGGTATGTTGTTGATTATAGGCTCTGAATAATAAACATATTTACCATATACTGAACGTCTATTATGATCTAAGATCTTTACTAACATTATTTCTTTTATTTTAATACAGCTATTTTACTATGTTAGTATACTTTTTATTTCACATTGTAGTAAATTCCACTCAGAAATGTTATATCTTGCCCCAGGTCATAAAGTTAACAGAATCAGTATTCTAAACCAGGGTTACCTGATTCCAAAGACCATGTACACACACTTACCCCTTTTCGTTTTTTATTTTAAAGAGATAATGTTTAAAAGTTTTTTTTCTTTATTTAACAAACACACATAATGTTTACTATGTTCTCAGGCACAGTTCTAAGTACTTCACAATCGCCCTATGAGATAAGTTCTATTATCATTGCCATTTTACAGATGAACAAATTGAGCTATAGATAGGTTAAGCTTGCTGGACATCACACAGCTAGTCAGCAGCATAGCCAGGATTTGAACCCAGGCAGTCTTCCTCCAGAATCTCTGCTCTTTACTATGCCGCCTCCCTAACCATGCCATTTCTATTGCACCATGTTGCCTCATAAAAATAGTTTCAGCAGTGTGCTGAAAGGACAAGCGCTTTCATTCACTCTTATGATCTGAAGTCATATACCTTGCCTGTTACAAGTAATTAAAACAGGGAACACTCATGCCGCCCCTCCTGAATATTCAAAAACCTATCCCAAATGAAATGCTGAAAAGATTGAGATATACCACTATTCCTATCAAGGAACACAGAAGCTACAGAAAAAGTCATGCAATGAAAAACTAAACAAAGTACTCTGCCTCTTTATTCTAAGCTTTTGCAGTGCTCAAAATATTTATTGTCCTTCAAACGTCTAGCTTCAACCTTTCCCTTTAAATTTACCAGTGCTTAAGACATTTTATCGAAGTCATACCCTCTCTCCCAGGAACTCTTGATTAGTTTTCACCGATTTTGTATTTGGTCTTTTAGCCTCCCAAAGCACATGCTACTTGCTCTAGTCAGACTTGTGGGGAGCCTCTTAAAGTTACTAAAAATTCTAAGGTATAAAGAAAATATAATTTTAAAAAGTGCTCTATAAACTGTAATTTTGATATGAATATTATTATTGCCCTCCCATTTCAATTAGGATCAGACTTTTGGGGAACAGCCTCCAAAATTCACACGATTTTTTAGCCTGACACCCAAATAAAACTCAACAGTCAGTGTTCTTCTACCATCTCCTTCCTTACCAGCCAAATGGATAAAACATAGAAGCAGACAAACGAAATAACATAATGGTACTTCAAGGCAAAGAAATGTTACATGCTTCATAATGATTATGAAGACTATCTCATAATACAGAAAACTACGATAAGATGCTGGATGAAGGAAGCATAATAAAAATAGGATATATGTATGATTTACGTCATATAAAAAATAAAGACCTACAGATGTATATGAAAAATGACTGAAAGAGAAAACCCAACAAATATATTAACAGTATATATAGCAGTGAGATTGGAGTAGTTCTTCTTTGACTTTTCTTGACTTTTAAATTTTCTCTAATGGAGTTATGATACATCTAGAACTTACACAATTTAGTATTAAAAATTAGGTTAGAATGACAATACTGTTTAACAACTTATCTTTATTTACTTTGTAATTTGCCCTGTAAAACCACACAAGATTTACAGTGCTTCATACCTGGCACCCGAGAGATCATCTGACATAAGTTCACACTTAAGGCAGCAGCCCTCTGTAAGAGGTAACCCCAGGAATGCATCTGAATCTCGTACCCTAGCAGAATATCAGGATCATATCTAAAGAAGGAATGAAAAGATCAAACAAGGAACACACATTTGAACTTTTCACCAGAAGAACTCATTCTTCATGATATAAAGCACAAAAATAAAAATCTATATTCTATAATGTTTCTTAGATGGGCAAGGGATGACATAGTGGAACCTAGAGAATTCCCATACACGAAGGAATGAGGTGATTGGATTAGAGTTCTTGGATTTGAAGCTACTTTGGTAAGGCAAGCATAGTTTTTACTCAGACTATGTATTTATTTGATATAACCTGGGATGGAGGCTGACAGAAAGTGGGGTGGGAGGGAGGCATAACCACTGAAATACATGAGTGAGGGTAATGTGGGTAGGGGCAGGGTGAAGTGTGAGGGCCTGTGTGGCTACTGTATTTTGAAAAAGACCCTCCAGATCACACTGTTGTCACTTCTCTACCCCTCTAACCTATACTGTCCTTAAACAGTTTTAATGCTGAGGAAGAAAATGAAAACGTCTTTCTTTCCCCACTTAATTTTAGTAATGACTTGGTCCTCACATGAATTAAGGACTCAGTAATGACAAATTTGTCCTCTAAACTTAAAAGGAAGGTGACTCAGTTTAATAGAAGAATAAAATATTAATGGGGGTGAGATTAATGTGGGGAAGCTCAGCATCAGAAAGTAGGAGAAAAATGTGCTTATTGTGGTCACAGAGTTGCATCCATAAAACTGAACTGACAATCTGTATCCAACTCAGAAGGAGCTTCTTTGTGGCTCCTCTTAGAACTTCCATGGTGACCACCATAGAAAAATGTTTGGTTACAGTGTAAGGGAAAATAAACATGAAGATTTACTTCAATGGGAAAATTGTGTGTGGAAGAGAGGATCTGATTATAGTCACAAGTTGAGAGTAAGAACTTTTGAGAGCAAAAACTACAGTAATGCTATCAAATTATAAACTCCAAATTACTCTGATCATTGTATTGTTTATAAAAGCCAAAAAGCAGAGTGAAAGATCACAAAATTTATAAGTTGGGTTTTATATAACTGCTGATAAAGTCACTATAATGAGTTGTGGGCTATGCAGCCTGTCCAGATTCTATCATTTAACACCTGAAGAATCATCCAATGCCTGTAGTACAGAATATACTAATTTACTGATTTAAGCTATATAGGGCTACTCTGCAAGTCTGTGATATAACAATGGATCATTTTGAGTAGATCAAATCTATTTTTAGAAATGGTGTCAGCTAATATTTTATCATACTTCCATAGCTACTTTCTTAAAATGGGTGTCAAATGGCTTTTTTACTGAGTCAACAAAAATAAGAATGTCACAAAAATGTCTCCTTATTTTTAACCCTGGAGGATTTAAGTAGCTGATATCAAAAGAACTAGGTTTGGGGCCAGCCCGGTGGCATAGCAGTTAAGTTTGTGAACTCTGCTTCAGTGGCCCGTGGTTCACCGGTTCAGATCCTGGGCACGGACCTACATACTGCTCATCAAGCCATGCTGTGGTGGCTTACAAAATAGAGGAAGATTAGCACAGATGTTAGCTCAGTGACAATCTTCCTCAAGCAAAAAGAGGAAGATTGGTAACAGATGTCAGCTCAGGGCCAATATTCCTCATCGAAACAAAAAAAAAAAAAAAAAAGAACTAGGTTCAAACTTCTGCAATAGCATTTTTTATTTTTCCTATTCCTTAAAAGCCTATCCAAATACATTCTATAATGTAAATTTTAGTATCTGCTGATCTGTTTGTGATCCTGTTATACCATCACAGACTTATGGAGTAGCCCTCAAACTTGTCAGGAGAAAATGATAACATATCTACTATCCATGTGCTTTTCTCCATATAAATAGGGTTGAAATTTTTGAAAAAAACCTGCTTATATAATAAACACTTAGTGATTACCATAACAGACCAGCCAAATAGACCTTTTCATCAACCTACAAAAGAAAGTATTTTCTTGGGGGCTGGCCCGGTGGCCAAGTGGTTAAGTTCATGCGCTCTGCTTTGGTGGCCCAGGGTTTTGCCTGTTCGGATCCTTGGCGCAGACATGGCACTGCTCGTCAGGCCATGCTGAGGTGCTGTCCTACATAGCACAACCAGAAGGACCTACAACTAGAATACACAACTATGTACTGGAGGGCTTTGGGGAGAAGAATTTAAAAAAAAAAAAGAAGATTGGCAACAGTTGTTAGCTCAGGTGCCAATCTTTAAAAAAAAAAAGAAAAGAAAGTATTTTCTTGGTAGCAGGTTCCATGTGGCTGTTGATTCTGGAACGAAGAGCAGGATTATGGCATGAGCATGGAGAAGAAAAAGAAAGCAAGGCAATTGTAACAATGGGGCAAAAGCTTAGTTTCAGAGGTCAATTCTTATAAAGGAAGACCAGAAAGATCCTAGGACACTCAAGAGAAGTTTACCAACACCCTACCTGCTCATTAGTCTTCTAACATAACATCTGATACCTTAATACATCTTTGTTGATAGCAACTTCATCACCTCTTCCATTAAAGTGAAATTCTTCTCAGAGCAGCCAAAGATGAACTATCTGTACAACAAGTGCACCTCTCTGTAAAACTAACTATGTAATGTCTAAATTTGAGAAACTGGGGCCGAAGTATCAAGTGGCTCTTAGGATTGTCAGGGGCAGATGTGAAGGATTCCCACACACACAGAAAAGAACCCATGCAGGTGACTGCTTTAGTACTGAGTCACCTGGATCAGGCATTACAGCGTGGCCACAATGGCCACAAGAAGAGCCCTTCCATTAGAACTCTTATAAAGACAGTTCTTCTAATTTCTTCACCTGAACTTTGCAAGATGCAAACTTATTCTTCTTATTGCAAGAATTATTATCATTATAATCTTCTTATTGCAAGAATTATTATTCTAGCCAGCTACTTGCTCTGTGGTGGCAACTGACTTACAAAGTTGGTTAAGTACACATTTTTTGATAATGTTTTGAAAATAATTTTTTCTCAATTAAAAAGACATTTCAATAAAACAGACATATTTTATAATCTGCTACTGGTCAGAGATGACTGCTGACAAAACAACAAAAAGTTACCCTGCTTCTCTTAACAGATTTACTAAATAAGTTTCACTCAATATTTTTCAGATTATTATTTTTTGACCCAGAGGCTGTTTCATCTCAAGAGACTTTTAAAGCTGATAAAACATCTGTGTCAAGTTTAAAATCCCAAGGATTCTATATTTCTCCTGTGAAAACATTTGGTGACAATAACAAAATCTTGGTGACTTTTTCTTCAATTTTTGTGAATTTTATTCACTCTATCAGCTCTCCTAAAGTTACAGAAGGAACAAAGTTGGGTAGATGGGATTAGTAGTGGAGAAAAAACAAAACTGTGAAGAAAATGGAAGCAGCAGAAACATGAAAATGATTTTATTTGCTTAGGCAAAAAAAAGTTGCTTCACAATTAATATTTTAAATAACCCATTAAGATCTGTACAGAGGCCACATAAGGGGGTTCTAACTAGGGCAGTGGTGATGGGCATGGGGGAGAAGGCATGATCTTAAAAAATAATTCTGAGGTTAAATGGATAGGATGTAATGTATGGATGTAGGGAAGAGAAAAAAGGAGGAATCAAAGCTTATATTTAAGTTAGAGAGGCTGGGAATAACGTAAAATTATTAATAGTTCAAAGAAATATAGAAAGAGAAAAATGATTGTGACAAGAATATAATGGATTTGGTTTGACTTGTTTAATATAATTTTATATTACCTTTTGTATTTGGCACCTAAGGACATAAATGTTAAGAATGGAAAAACAAAGTCAATAAAAGTCTTTGAGAGTATGTATCTGTATTTTATTCAGTTTTATATATAGCACCTAGCACTGTACTTTACATGTAAAGTTAATATTTAAGTACTAACCAGGTTAAGAGTTTTATTTGCATTACCTCATTTAATTCTCATATTTATTACCTATTTTGCAGATGAGGAAACTAAAGCTGAGAGAGACAAGAAACTTCCTCAAGACAAAAATACAGAGCTGGCTGACTCCAAAGCCTATGCTCTTAACAGAGCCTGTGTTGAGTAGATACTCAACAAATGGGGTGTGAGAGTGAGATAATCTCTTAGGTGGTTGTTTGGAATAAAATATAAAGGACATCAAAAATTGAAATGTTGATATTTAAGCATTTTTCTTCTCTCTAAAATAATCACATGATCTTTTATAGTAAGAACCAGAATGTCTTGTTCTGTTTACTGAATTTTTCTTAATTACTAGTATAACTCATGTTATGGATATTTAAGAAAGTTACTATACTTGCAAATGACTGACAAAATTCTCAGCGTTGGCAGGACTATATCTAACATGGAGAAGACAAGCATACAAAGCCCAGGACATTATTGGATGTGTGCTGGCACACAAAATAGTGCTCATTAATGTTCTGACATGTTACTTTTGCTAAGTTGCTTGCAGAAATAAAAGTGTGGGCACTGAAAGCATCTGACACGTTGATCACTTCTGTGAGAAGGTAAAAGGTAGGACTGACAAGGGCAAGACTCAAAGGGATGAGAATCCATCCAGTCACCAGTGCTATAAATGGTAAAAATACATTCTTCTTTTTTCCTCCCTAGAGTGGTGGCTAGCAGCATATCATTTTTGATGCTCTGACATTTAGTTTTGTTTTGTTGAAAACATTTTCTGGTTTCCAGTATTTAAAATAGTTTGTTAACCTGTCTGAGATTCAACAGATGTTGAGCCTGTAGAATATCATCCTGATCTTTAATGTAGAATATCTCAGTTTTATGGGAAGGAGTTCAACTATAGGAAGCACAACAGAAAGGACAGAGTGTAACCACATGCTCAAGGACAGTGTGTACCTATACATCAGGATCCAGAGTATGTTTTAGCCTGCTGTAGGCATTTAAGAACCTAAACCTAGCAATGGGCAGAAATCTTAAGTTCCTAGAAAAGTGAAGCACTTAATGAGAGTCCATGGCTACCAAGAGTTATAGTCTTGAGAAAATGCAACAAATCCACTTAATTGTTTGATTTTTAAATGAAAATATTTTTGTTTTTAAAAAAATTCTTTTCATAAATTTTGACAAGATTCTACTATCAACCATCAAGGCCAACTATCAAATGGTCAAAAGAGATCTTTAAGGAAATATGTGCACAAAAGACATACCATATAGTCCTAAATTTATAAAGAGACTGCATTCCAAAGATTTTTGGAAATATTGGTTTGTTTAGAACTCAGAAAAACATTTTCTTAAAAAAAAAAAAAGGTACTGAAATGGTGGCTGGCCCCTAAGGTAGAAGCCCATTTAATGAATAATACAATTTAACTTTAGTAATGTTCTCCATTATTTTACCCCTATAGAAAAATCATGCTAAAATCCAAGTTGAAAGCTAGAGGCTAAACTAATATTTCTCTTTCACTTGCCCCTCAAACTTAGAAACAGCATATTCTTTTTCCTATCCCTAATCTGATGGAAACAGTGATGGTGGTGGGCGGTGAGAGCAAAATCTTTCCAGGGATAACTACTTTCAAGGGCCACAGGCAGGGATTCTCCCCCTCTTTCCTACCTTCACCTGTATTAATCAGCAACAGTATGAAAGGACTCTGAACTAAAACTGGAAAAATCAGAAAATACAAAACAATACCTCTTTATTATAGCTGCAATTTCTTGAAAAAGTGCCTTCTCATCAGCAGCATAGGTAACTTCTAGTCCTGTAATTCCAGATCTAATAAGTAATGGGGTCTGATATCTGATATCTAAGAAAGAAACAAAATGTTTATTATAAATATAATTGTGTAAGTAATATCATTCCTTACATTTTAAAGGTTTTCTAGTTTCATATGCAACTGAAAATTCAAATTTCATATTTTCAGTTATTTTCCTGAAAAGTCTACATTCACAAAACTCCCCAGATAATAATGTCACCTGAAAAGAAATTTTATTACTGTTTCTGTTTTTAATTTTAATCAGTGGTATGCTGGAAAATGTTTAGAACCACCTCTCCAGGGGAAACAAAAGCCTTGATTTGTAGTGCTTGCTTATTTCCATGACATAAAGACTTCACACCATGAATAATTTCAAACTACTACTAATTTCAACTAATTAAAAAAAATTATGAAAATTTAACAATTGGTTCATGAGCTGGTACAAGCCAGCTCAAGTATACCACTGATTAAACTGCAAAATCCTATACGGTTCTGCTCTGTGCTAAGACTTCCTCTTGAGTTGACCGAATTCATGTGTTACCATTTAAAACCGCAGAGGGACATTTTGTATTTTATAAAATGGTATGCTATATGAAGAACCTCTGAACCAAAAGTGTAGATATTTCGGAAGAGATAGAAACATAAGTTAGAATCCATCTGGGAAGACTCTTGTAAAACATTAACTTACAAAAGCACCTTAACTTCTTAAAGCAAAGAGAAACTCTGTATTAGCAACAAAATACCAGCAATGTATACATAAGGAAGATTGTCTACTCCAACTAGAGATACATAATCATTTGGATTCTGTATTAACAATTAGTATTTTATAAAATAATATTTAGAACAGATTAGATATGCTAATTGGAAATTTTGTTAAGACTTTATATATCAACTTTATATTGTATTGCTTCTGACTTCCAACAATAATCCGAGTAAGAATAATGAATCTAGGACAAAGCTATACATGAGACTTCCTACTCCCATCTCTGCAAACATTCTAGAAAGGAGTTCCTTACGCTTGCTTGGTTTAGATCTCTAGCACAGAAACTGACCCATTAAAAGGTTCATCCTTGGGTGGCTAGGATAAAAATGAACAGTACCTTGACTGGAGACTGTCTTGTCTTTATCGATCACTATTACACCTGTGAGTTCTGTTTTGTCTGTATCCGGTAGTGGAGTGTCAGATGAGATGCAGTAGAACAGAGCACAGATTGGGTCAAACTCCGGATCTGGTTCTAAATCTCGCCTAGTTCGAGCATGTAACTCCACACTGATTAGGGTAAGATTTTGTATCTACAAAAGGAAATACAAATTATGCTTTTAAACATTTTTTTGAGACGTCCCGAAAGAAAGACTCCAAGGAAATGTGTGTGTAAAATTACAGAAAAAAAATCTATAAAGGACATAGTTACAATTTAGCACTCCACAGATTAAAGATTTTTGCTTGTAAGATTAGATTAAATCAATTCACCTTTTATTTTAGAAAATCTTGTGCTGTAATTTCTCAATGACAATACATACTTAAAACTATTTGTCTGAAATACCTGCAGTGCCTCTCAATTTTCTCAATTCCTGTTTGGGGAACTAGGGAATCATTAGTCCAAGTGGTCATACATTCAAACTAAAGTCTGTTACTTCTTACCTTCTACCCGGATAACTATACTTTTACCTATAGTTTAAAGTAAAAAGAGGTATTTCTTAGTTTGAAGCTCCTACCTACTAATTCTCTACTACTTGAGGGCTACTTAAAATTTAGACTTTTGTATATACTAGGCAGACTTTTAATTATGGTTTTTCTTGGAAAAAAATCATAAGAATTGTATGGTATCAACTACACAATAGCCAGATTTTTGCCCATGCATATATTCTCTGACATATAATGCAAAAACATACTATTTTGCTTTATATACTATTTTTCTATACTAATAAAAACTCAACTATAATCCTTAGCTCTCTTTCTAAAATCAAGACAGAATAAGTAGAAACTCTGGAAAAGAAAAAGAAAATATAGGTTTAGATTCATGATTATAGCTAAAATTATAGCCATCATTGTACCAGTAATGTATATATACCTGGAAATGGAAAACACCACAATACTGATAATTATTCAGACCATATAAATTTAATAAAGGATTTGTATTTTGTATTTATCTTGCATTCCAACTGTTGAAGAAATGTAAATACAAAGCTCTCACTAGTGACGGGAGTAGAATTTGGTAAATCTCTTTGGAGGACAATTTAGAACTATCTATCAAAATTAAAAATGGAGGGGGCCAGCCCAGTGGCGCAGCGGTTAAGTTCACATGTTCCGTGTCTCCGTGGCCTGGGGTTCGCCAGTTTGAATCCCAGGTGCGGACATGGCACCACTTGGCAAGCCATGGTGTGGTAGGCGTCCCATATATAAAAGTAGAGGAAGATGGGCACGGCTGTTAGCTCAGGGCCAGGCTTCCTCAGCAAAAAAGAGGAGGACTGGCACTAGTTAGCTCAGGGCTAATCTTCCTCAAAAAAAAAAAAATTTAAAAATGGACATATCCTTTGATTTAGCAGTTCTACCCCCAAGAATATATTCTGCAGATACATTCACACATGTAGCCAAAATATATACACAAGGATGTTCACTAAAGATTATAATATTCCCAATCTTTTATAAGTTATAAAAGACTAAAACCTGTGTCTATCAGTTGGGGACTGGTTACACAAATTGTGTGGCATCCATAAAGGCTACATACAATGGAATAAATACTCTGTGACCTTTAAAATTTTCAAAAGCCAGATCTACATGTCTTAATATGGAAAGCTCACCATAATACACTGACAAATGGAACCAGTAAGTGTACTATGTTTCTATGTATGTAAAAAATGTTAAGCACACGCACAGAAAATTTCTACAGAGACATAAAAGACACAGAACAGCTTACTGCCTTTGGGGAAGGAGACTGCTTAGTTTGAGATGGGAGGGAAGCTTACTTTTCATTGTAACTCTTTTTGTCCTGATTGAATTTTTTTACCATGTACATGTAATACTACATACATTCATGAGTAAATTTGTTACTAATTATGCATGGATAGGGCATAAGGAATAATAAAACAAATATCCACCAATCCACCACTTTCCTTAAGAAATACATACTGCTGTTCTAAAAAGACAAACTAGTATTAAAAAAAAAATCAAACCAAGTAAAATGGTGAGTGAAAGGAAAGAACTTTACTTTTAAATATATACTCTTCAGGACTGTTTGATATTTTTCTTTTTAACAGTAAGCTTGTATTAATTTGGTAACACAAAAATGTAAAATAAAAAACCTCTCCCTAAACTCAAACAAAACAAAACCAAAAAGCTAGTTTAATTAGAAAAGGATGAACATGTGGAAAGACTATGGAGAAGACTGAAGACAAGTACAGGTCAAAGGAGTCTTGCAGGTTGATTTATGTACTCAATTTTGAGTATGAAATTTTGCCTTTCTATTCCTTGATACAAAATGCATTACTTAGGGGCATTTTCTTTTTCAGTAAACATATGGGGTGAAGAGATGGAGAGAGATTTATTGAGTGTGACTAGGAAAGAGGTAGTTGAGAAAGCGGGACAAGGATTACAACTCTTCTCTTCTGCATTGAGTATTTATATGCAGAAGAGAGAGAGATTAACCCAGAGTAATGCGAAACAGAAGAAAAAAATGCTACGGGCACAATTTCCGAGAAAAAGGAAGAGTATAGTACAGGAAGAGGAAGAGAGATTTTTTGGATTCATTCCCTAATTGACCACCAGATGGCTGTCTGGAGTGAGCCCTGAGGTGAAGAAAGCCAGTGTGGGGAAGCAGCTATGAGCAACCCACCAAACCTTCCGAGTGATTGTAACTTTAAGAAGGCCTATGATTCTGAAACGGGGTTATGTAGAATCAAGTAACAGTGTAAGAAGAAAATTACTTTTTTCAAATAATAATAATCAAATGTAACAAGTCTCTTTCCTGAGGTCTATCAAATTTGCTTTAATATGTTTTAAGAGAGTATTTTCTTTAATTTTCTAATTTCAGGTGTGTACTTGATATGTATTCCTGAGTTTATTGGGTAATTTATCTGGGCTTCAGGGGATAGTACAGGGTCAGGTATAAGGCAGGAACCAAATCAATACCGTTGAATGAAAAAAATTTACAAATATAATTACGGCATTAGACTATGTTCCAATCTAATCCTAAAAAAAGTACAATTCTTAGTTCAAATTCAGGGTAAAAATGTGAACAATATTTAAATTTTTCTCTTAGTCTATGCTCATCCCATCCTTAGAACAGTTTAAGACACAATTGAGAACATAAAAACAAAAAATGAAAAATTGAATTCTCTGCTCTAAGGGCAAAGACATAAAACAACTGTATAAACCAGCATTGTCTAATAGAAATACCATCAAAGTGACATAAGTATTTAAAAATTTTTTTACTAGTCACCTCAAAAAAAAGTAAAAATAGGTTAAATTAAGAATATTTTCATTTAATCCAATATATCTAGAATATCACCCTTTCAATGTGTAATCAATATAAAAAATTACTAATGAGATATTTTACATTCTTTTTTCCTATTACGTCTTCAAAATCAATGTGACTTTTACATTTACAGCACATCTCAACGTGGACGCTGAATGGAAATACTTGATCTGTATTTAGATATAAGATTTACAGCTGAAAAAGTAGTTTTACATAACTAAGTTGTTCCAAACATACTTAAAAGTTTTCCAATAAATCGGTCAAGTATCAGTTTTTAAACCTAAATTAGGTAAAATTAAATAAAATTTAAAATTCAATTCCTAGATGTATAAGCTAAATTTTAAGTTCTCAACACTCACACTGCTAATGGCTACCGTACTGACAGCACAGCTACAAACAAATGAAAATCTACCCTAATTTCCACCTAATTGCCAGTCTCATATGTGCTCTGAGTTGTGTTTTCTTTAATACAGACAGATTTACAGTGACCCATTCACACATATTCTCCAGTCCATCCTGTGACTGATGTACATTTTTACAAGATAGCTCCATAGTCTTTGGCACACGGTCTGTGCTGTGAATGCAACTGGGTTATAGACAGATTATATGAACAAATGAATTGTTGCAAGCACGAATCCACCGAGCCAACCTAATAGAAAAGACAAGTAAATGTCACATTTGGGATGTGATATAACATCCTAATATAACAATCCCAGAATAACATATAGATTTCCTAACAGTTAAAAAACCTTTTCTAATTTCAGCTTCTATAAACTGAATTCCAGTTTTAAGATTTGTGAAAATTGTGAAACCACAAAGCAGCCTCAATAACTGATGGCTACTTTAAAAGTTTCTCTATTTTATATAAATGTATAATTATGTAAAATAGTAAGAATAGTAAAGAACAAAATGAAGATTAACAGGCACAGAATTCAATATATTGCTCCCTCAGTAACCAATTTCCAGACTTCTTTGCCAGAATAAAACATAAAAGTTAAACAGTGCATGTGTCTTTATTGTTGCAGTTTTACCTCATGCAAAGCTTTTGCCTCCTGTAAGTTTTGGACGCTGACTTTGAAACCATAAGTATTGTTTAAAGATGGTCCATCAATCTGAGAAGTTTCTTTCTTTGGGGTATTTACTGATGTAAACTGATTCTATTAAAAAAACACATAGCCAGAAAAAGATAAATGAGCAATCATTTTCTTCCTTTGATTACTTATTCCTACTTAGAGAATATGCTTTGTGTATTTAGTAAAATATGATAAACTAATATCTCTTTAAGTCCAAGAAGAAACCAGAAAAGTATTTTATTAACATTCTTTTCATGAGAGTAATTCAAGATACCAGAACTGGATATATGTAGAAATATCTAATATAATCTATAAGCAAAGCGTAGTTGATCTCTGAGTTTACAAACCTCAAATACTGAAAATAACAGTCTTGTAGAGAGTTGACATTTATGACATGGACATTTATCATGACCTTTCTTGGAAGTATGACAAGCAAGCAGGCAATGTATTTGCAACTAGTTTGGCTAAAATTTATCAAAGATTTGAATTCTGGGTTTCAATTTTACCCTAACACAATATGTGTCTGAAAGATGAATTAAAACATAAACAATCCTCAAGGGTTTATAAAGAACAGAATCTTTCTATGTTTTAAAAATATTTTCCTGATTTCCCAATCCATTAACCATTTTCCCCAAAGTGACGATTTATGTTCAGAACACACTCATACTTGTTTTTAATATAAACAGCTTGTAATTCAACAATACTGATTTAAAAATGAAAGTTTTAAAAGAGTATTTATAATCTCAAAATAGATATACTAAAATACATCTTATGTAATTAATAATATCTACCAGAAGTGGTCAATATGGAAGTGATTTCTATCATGTATCTACAAGGATACATGTCTAATGTATACTTTCTTCACATAACTATGTTTCTAAGTTAAGTATTACCATATTTTTAGTATTAAAATAAAGACATGATTTTTCAGAGTTTCAGTAATAAATAACGTTGCTTTCCTTTGCTTCTTAGTAAAATGAAGTGAAAAAAGTCAATAATGTTATATTTGAGAAAAAAGTAATAAACCAAGAAAAAGGATATATTTTTGGTGGGATCAAAAATCACTTACTTGAGCTCTGCTGTCATTGGATTGTTCTGATTTTGCCAGTAATCAGTTAATGTATTTGTATCCTCATAATCCACATTTTGGCTATCATATTCACTTTCTCTGTAATATTTGTATTTACATATAAGAATCTTTTAGATCCCAACAACAAAAAAGAACTAAAAAAAAATTAGGCAATTTCTTGTTGTCTCAAAGATATGTAAATAAAGTGATACAAAAACTAATAAATTTTTTTTTAAATTGAGACATAAAGTTATCAATTATCTAACTGAAATCTGAGAATAAGAATGGATCTTCCACTGATCTTTAAAAATGTTTAGCATAGTTACCTTTGCTTGTGTTAAGAGTACTCTTCTAAGAGTGGCAGTATTACTTCCTTTCTTATGACTCAATTTCCGCGTTTTTGGTTCTGTAGAAAGAAATTTCATATTTAACATGTACATCAAAATGCCTGTTTCTGTTTTCTCTTTTAATTTTTGTTGTTCCAAACACTTAAGTACCTTTCGTGAGTATCGTCCTATAAATTCCTCCCAAAGATTTCATAATTTAAAAATGAAACTAATTCAAACTTCTGATCCCCACCAAAATAACATTAAAATTTTGCATTTTAAAATAAAAACATTAAGATTTTAATTATTGAGTTTTATACCTCAGTCATTATCCTAGGGAATCATTTAACTCATTTATTCACTTATTTATCAAGTATTTATAATGAGGAGGAAAAAGTTTCTACCCTGATGGGGTCAGAGACAGAATTGGACATTTATCAAACATATATAGAAAAATAAAATTATAACTGGGCTAAGTACAACAAAGGAGAATATAATCAGGAATTTTTATCTAGTCAGGGAGATTAACAAGGCTTTTCTGAGCTGAAATCAGAAGATAGAGTAGTAACTAACTAGGAACAGACTGGGGATTTTCCCTGATTACTGAGCAAAAGAACTGGAAATTGCTAAGGGTGGATAAGAAGGCTAGGGTGGAAGTCCAGGTGAGAGATGATGACAGCCTGGCCTCAGGCTGACAGCCTGGTGGAGGTAGAGAGATTCAGGTAATAAAAGAAAAACAAAAGAGATAGGACTTGGTAACAGACTAGGAACCAGAGGATAGGCAGTGAAGGAATCAGGTGAGTGTTACAAATAAATCCCATGTTTCTGACTTGTGTGACTCAGTGACAGAGAGATGATGGTACTGTTCACTAAAAAATAAGGAAAACTAGGGGCCGGCCCCATGCCCAAGTGGTTAAGTTCTCGCGCTCCGCTGCAGGCGGCCCAGTGTTTCGTCGGTTTGAATCCTGGGCGCTGACATGGCACTGCTCATCAAACCATGCTGAAGTGGCGTCCCACATGCCACAACTAGAAGGACCCACAACTAAGAATATGCAACTATGTACCGAGGGGCTTTGGGGAGAAAAAGGAAAAAATAAAATCTTTTAAAAAAAAAAAAAAAAAGGAAAACTGAAAGAGGACCAGATGGATTTCTGTGTGGGCATGTGCCTGTATGTATGAGTGTGTTGGGTGGTTGGTGGTGAATGGATGCAGTGAGATCACGAATTGACGTTAAAAAATACTGACCTTGTGCTGCCTTTGAGCGTTCAAGTACAAATGCCAAATAGGAAGCTGGATATAGTGTTCTGGAGCTTAAAAGAGAGTTCTAAACTGGAAATTTAAATTTGTGAGTTATCTGTAGTAATCCTGTGAGCATTAGGGAGATCATTTAGGGAGAATATAGGATAAAGAGTAAAGAAGGCTTAAGGCCAAGCCTTAATAAACTCCAACATTTAGATAATACCTGAGAATGTGAGATAAGCTTCAAAGGGAAGCACGCAGGAAGAAACAGAGGAGTAGGAGAAAAGCCAAAGGGAGAAGCTTCAAGAAGGAAGATGTGATCAACAGGACAATGGCTGCTTAGATGGCATGTGATAGGAAGACGGAAAAACATCCACCAGCTTTAGCTACATGAAGGTTATCGAGAACCTTACAGGGCCATAGTGGTGGAATGATGGGGGCAGAAGCCAGTTTACAGTGGGTTGAGAAATGAGTAGGAGGCAAAGAAATGGAAGCTGTCAAATCAGAGAAATCCTTAAGAAATTTGGCTTTGCAGGAGAGGAAAAAGAGCAGAAGCTGGCAGATGTAAGGTCAAGGCAGCTGTTTGGTTTTCTTTCTGTTTTAAAGAGTGGGAGAGACCTGGGTATATATTAAAGCCCGTGGGAAAAACCAAGTTAAGAAGAAGGTCAGGTTTCTGAGAGGGTTCCTATATTTCACCCAGAAGGCAAGAAGATAGGATGGAAACAGATGTAAGTAGATTTCACAGTAGAAAGATAAAAGTTTTCAAGTGATGTTGTCTTTCCAAGACATGACAAAATAACAATAATCTCTCATTAGCTGACCTAAAATTTTATTTAAAAAGCTATGATTTTCATTACCAAGTCTAATGTTGTTTTCATTTCTAATCTTTGAGGGACAACTACGGAGCCTTTCTGTTATTTGTAAACTTACCTGATGATAAAGGGCTAAGGCCAGTTGCTTCAGGAAGCTTTTCCAGAAGTTTTCTCTGTATGATTGGTGTACTGTGAAGGCAAAGTGATTCACACATCCCAGTTCTCGTCCTAATGTTAATTGGAGATATCACTAGAGGCTCCCGAGGCTCACTGCAGGGGCTTTTCTGTACATCACCTTTCACCGGCTTTAACAAGTTCTCAAGAGCCAAGGAACGTAGCTCCTCTACTGGCGATGAGGATCTGCCATCTCCATTTAAGGTTTTGAAATCTGGGGATATTGCTTGTTGCCAAGGGGGAATTAGGGGAGAATCAGGGGAGCTATAACTAACATAACAGTCATCATCATCTTCCTCAGGATCATTTGAAGCAGCAACTGGTGGCAGTGTCTGACTTTCACTTGCAGTTTGACTGCATCCTGTGGTTGGCGCTTGTAAAGCAAGCTGAGAATTATCAACATCTTCCTTGGTATGTGATGTAGTAGGGGGTATATGTGGAATTGTATCCATTTTTGGAGGCACTACAGGTTTGTCATCTGGGTTAACTGAAGAGCTGAAGTTCTCAGCAGATTTTATAACTCCAGTTGGCTCAATTTTAGACAGTTTCTTGGAACGCTCATATTCTTCTTTGGCTTGAAGCCATGATTGAACCAGTTGTCGACTTGGGGCACATTTGCAAGGCATAATCACAATTTTTTTATCTTCAACCATTTTATGGCTATTACTCGACCCTTTATTGACAATTGCTTGGGCATTGCGAAGGGGTGACCCTGGTCTTGGATTCTGAGTCATTGCTGAGAATGCTGTTTTCCATAGACGAAGGCCTTCCAAGGAAAAGTCTCCCTCAAACTCAGCCAGATCATTTGGAAGTCGAGTTTCTACCATGAGAAGCCGTCCGCCGATCTCCCTATAAACAACATATTTTAGAACAACTGTTTTGTCTCAAAGAGCAATTACCAAAATATTTAGCTCCCTATCCTAGAGATTTTTTAAAGTTCCTTTTGACGTCTTAAAAACGCCCATCTATTTTTTCCCTTGCCACATCCCCCCACACACATATTTTATGCACGTATGCTCTATCTTCAGTCTCAATATGCTTTTCCTCACAGGTATGTGACTACTAATTTTCCTTGGAGGGTATCATCAATACCAGGGAAAGAAGGTATTTTTTGTTTTAAGTGCCCCATGAAGCCTTCTTTTCTTCAAAGAAATCGCACGGACTCATCAAATTCCTTTCCTGTACTCATCTTAACTTTCTACTGTCACTACATGTGAATAAAAATAATGGAAGAATTTATCATCAGAGACCATATCGCTAGACTTTATTGACAGCCTCTTTCTACATTCTCTAGTATCTATAGTAGTGTAGCAAAGCCAGCCAGTTCAAAGAAACCTTTGTATCCCCCAAATTCCCTCAAACACTAAAAAAAATCACACAAAATTGAGGTAAATTACAATTCTTTCTCTCTTTTACATGGCAAGGTTTAACACTAACATAAGAACTCAGGAGTTAGCAGAGCCCACGGAATGCATAGCTTAAATGCTACTGTTGTATATGTATGTGAGGCAGCCTGGTTTAGTTTCCAATAGTTATAATACTAACCTAAACCCCTCTCTCTCTAACATAGATCCATTGGTACTATTTCTGCCTTCTGCAGCAACATAAGTCTACCTTTTCTTCTTTATGCTATCTCTTTCATAAAAAAGAAGACACTTCTTAGTTTTTTCAATTACTTCTCTTAGGGTATGATTTCCCAAACATCCTGGTCATTCTCTAAATAAAACTCAACGAACTGGATTTATGCTTTTTCATTTGGAGTAGAAGGAGGAGCATTAGGGTTACCACAGTTTCTTTTCCCCTTTACATGGAAAGATTTTGGCCCCTACTAGTTAACTCCATAACCAGCATCTAGCACCTTCTCTGCACCTATCTCCCAGGTATATGAAAAATCAGAAGCAGAATTATTAAAGGAAATGAATACATATGTCATGGACTATATCCAACTCTAATATTAATGACACAGAGATAATGAAGTAAAAAATAACAAAGATTGGTGAGGTGTGGTAAATTCAGTTTTCTTGAATATTGTCAGCAGCATGGCAACTGTTACAACTCATGTCATAATATATATATCAAGAGCCTTAAATATTTCAGTAAATCTACTTCTAGGGCTATAAGGGAAAACTCCAAAATACAAGAAATGCTTTGGGAAGAAGATACTAGTCACATAATTATCTAGAGTGGCAAAACAGGAACAACCATTCTGTTCAATAAGACATACACGAGAGAATACTATACAGCCATTCAAATGATTTTTCAAGATACTCATAAATTTAGAGAATGTTTACAGTGTTTATAATGTGAAGTGAATAAATCTGGATGCAATACTGTGACTATAGTAATATTTCATAAAACAAAACTGTACACTAAAAAAACTAAGAAAACACATTAAAATATTAATAGTGGTCATCACTAGGTAGAGAAATGGTGTGATTTTTATTTCTTCTTCTTTTATAGTTCCTAAATTTTCTATAGTGAATACATAGTTTTATACAAAAAAATTGTTCTTTAAAAATAATGACTATTGTCTTTTTATTTCAGCTGCAGGACAAGAGTCAAAGTTGGATAACAACTAACAGCAACACACAGTTAATGATGAGCATATGGTAAGTTAACTAAGAGTTAAGAAGATGTATAAGGCTGAGGTAGAAAAAAGTGTGATTAAAAAATATAATCACTATTGATAAAGTCAAAGCCCCAAAATAACAGAAACTAATGTCTAAGGAACAGATATTCGTGCATTCTGGCAGTGAAATAAAGAGAAACAGTCCCACCTGGGTTAAAAGACCACATGTGGGTAACTAAGCAAAACAAAACAAAACTGTGAAACTGTATGGTAGGAAGGGAGAGGTATTTCCCGTCTTTTACTTCAAGTCCTTAGAGGAAGGAAGTTCTATTCTATATCTCTAATCACTGTCTCTCACCCCTTTCTTAAATGGACTCCTGTGGGAATTATCACCAATCTGCTGGGTAAAAGCCAGGCATTCACTGCGTCCTTTAGACTAGGGTCAGGAACACGGTGCTCTGACAGGGCAGCGCATACATGCACTGTGGCCTCTTGCCTTAGCTGGTTTTTCATATCTCTCCCATCATTTAGACTAAGCAGGGTCTGCCTCAGCAGTCCCAGCCAACCTCCTCTGCTTCTGGCTAGATGGCTGAAATCAACTGTCTCTCTTTGCAACTAGTTACGTAAATGGGGCAGGACCAAGAACCACCACTTTAACCTCCTGAATTAAGTCATGTTCCCCCAACTTAGCTCTTATCAGATATGTTCTACCTTGGTGATGCAGGTGGTACAGGATACCTACTTAAATACTGGTTTACAAATAAACCAGTATTGTGATTTTTTTCCCATTTTGCTATTGGCTGTGTGTGTGTGTGTGTGTGTATCTGTCTCTCTGCTTATCAAAAGAAAGAAGAGAGAAGGGGAACTGAAGTCCATCTTGCACCCCTAATAACTGTACAAACAATAATATGATTGAAGATGTGGCAACGTGAAAAGAAGATGGCATATAATAGAAACAATTTAAAATAATCTTCATTTACAGATATACCATAAGAGTACTTAAAACATACATATGCTCAGTTTCAAACACTTTTAAAAAATGAAGTTTTAAAAAATTACAAAAGTTTGCCATTTTAGAAATAAGTACCATTTTAAAATGATAATCATAATATTTTTAAAGTACTATGACATCTCTTCTAATTCGGCATGTCACAACAGGCCTCTGCATCTTTTATCCTTAATGTTGACACAGTGTTAAATAATAGTAGATCCAGGACCAACACTCATCAATTTAAATAAATATCTCTATGTGTAACCATCCAGGTAGTTTGTGAATTTTTTTTTTCCTGAGGAAGATTCACCTTGAGTTAACATCTGTACCAATCTTCCTCTATTTTGTATGTGGCTCACTGCCACAGCATGGGCACTGACAAGTGGTATAGGCCCATGCCCAGGAATTAAACTTGAGCTGCTGAAGCAGAGTGCGCCAAACTTAGCCACTAGGGCACAGGGCCGGCTCTGTGAATTTTTCTTAGTAAGTCCCTAATTATGAATAGTTTTTACAACTGTATACTTACAAATACAGTATCAGAGCCAGAAAACTAACAGTGAGGTACCAAATGTTGTTATATACACTAAAATTATTCAGAGTGACCCAAGGGGAAAAAATAATTCTGATTACCTGGGCTTTTCTGGTACATCAGAAGGATTACTGCAAAAAGGTTCCTGGTAAACAGTTTCCGAAAGGTCATGATCCAACAATGTTGCCATAATTTCTTCCCTACTTGGTGGGGACATAAGTGGTTTCAGAATGTGAGCAGTTCGAGGGGTGAAAGTGCCATTTTTAGACTGTGAAGGAGAGCTGGTAGACCTTGGTGAACTATCAGGAGTTGGTGTCAGTATGTCATTGTTTCTTGAAACATATAATTCTAAATCTTCAGAAGCTACATCCACAAGTTCACCATCAGGTGAGGATAGTATTGTGGTAAAAGAGGTATTGACTGAGTCAAGAGCCTGTCCTATTTCTTTTCTGGTATGACCTTGAATCCAGTCTGAATTGCAAGGCTGAGAAAGGCTAAGAAACACTTCTTTGCTTACTGAACTCCTATTCAATCTGGATTTTTCATTTAGACAGTCCTCTGCCTGCTGGACACAGAAAGAATCCATGATGGAATTAGACCGAGTTGTTAGAGGATGAAAGCTACTTTTCCACTGGTTGTGGCAATGATTCTCATTGCTATCTATGGAGGATTTCTCAAACAGTTCAGGGCTTAGAGTACTGGACCTAATCCATGAGGTTGAGTCTGAGGCATGGTGTTTGTCTTCATCACACTTCTGGTTATCATGACTCAAAAACTCAGTTTTTTCTATAGTTTGTCCTGGGAAAAGATCCTGAACGGCATCACTTAGGAACTTCTGAGGCAAATTCAGATCAGCTGGGACAAACTGACTTCCAGAATAAAAGCTACAAAATCCAGTTTGACCTATTGTATTAATATCAAAATTATAATTATGTTCAGGAGACAAACTATCTTCAAGTGAGTAACAACTTTCAAAACCTGGATCTGAAAAAAAGATGGGACTATCATCTGATAGGGAGTTGTCCAACTGGCCAGAGTTTTGTAAATTAAGAGAGTCTACTTTAAGAAGTTTGGGAACTTTTTCTTTAGGTTTTGTACTTCTGGGAGTTCGAGGTTTTCTTTGAGATGTTACCGATCGTGTTCGTTTAATTGTTTTGTTATGCTCAAGGGAACCAGAAATATTTTTGTTTGGTTGATGTTTAGTAGATAATGGGTCTTGCATAGTATTTGCATTTTGTGCTTTCTGCTGTCTTTTCTGTAACAGTTCTTTTAGAACTGCCAGCCCAGACTGTCCTTCACCAAACGCTGAAGGTGTTGATACATTTCGATTTTTACACTGAGAAAGTGCTTTGGTTTGTGAAATTGCTTCTGACAATGACCTTTGTTTTACCCTTTCAGGTTTAAAATTTGACACACCTAAAATAAAGCCCCTTTGTTTTTGCTCCCATGCTATTTGTTTGATTGGACTTTTTAAGGAAGTTACAAAGCAATTATTAGGCATTTGGCTTTCCTCTGAAGCTGCATTTCCTGGAGAACAAGTTTCACTGTGCTTTGACTGTTCTGCCATGCACACAATCTGCTGCTGACTGTCTTTGCACTGTGAAAAATTAGGGGCATACGTCTGATCTGGCTTTGACTCTAGGGAATTATGATAGTCATTTAACTTTCCGATAGATGACAAACAGTTTTTTTGTGTATTTGCATTCTCTTCTGTCTTTGGAGACATTATACCAGAAGATATCTGTGTATTCTGTGCTACCTGAGACAAATGGTTGGAAAGGTCAAATATGTTTTTTTGAATCAAGGTTGATTCCTTTAGAGTAAACATAGCACTTTGATTATGAGACCTTTGAACATTAATTTTTGAGATTCCAGGTCCCATAGAACTACAAACAACTGATGAATGCAAATCATCTCGTGAACTGGGGAATGTTTGCAAATCCACAGGCTTCTTGCTTTCTAAGAAAGAAGAAAAGCAGCCAGATAAATTCTGTTGTGCTCGAATTCCAGTGGGTAGGGGAGCAGAAAGGGGATGATCTATAGCAGAGCCCATTAGGGACACATCTTTCTGTTTAAAAAGTAGTTGAGAGCCTCCAGAACTATTTGAGGTCTCAGACACATTCTGATGTTTCAGCACAAACTTAACTTCAGCACCAGACTGGGATTTTATTTTTTCATCTTTAAGTGTTATGTGCTTTCTTGACGTACCTTTCTCATTTGTTTTTTGTTTCTGTTTTGCTCTTGGTTTCTTTTTTCCATCACCTACTAGTTTACTCGTCTGATTTCGTTTGTTCCTTTTCTTAGTAACTACAGAAGGATTAACAAGCTTTGTTTTTGATTTCTTAACCTGTGTTCTTGCTCGACTATTTTTTTCCATACGGGAATTAACAGTCTTGCTATTATATGCGTTAAGACCCTTAAGAAGCATTGCTTCCTTATCTGCAGCAGCCATAATTTCTTCAGCTCTTGGATCTGTGGGAGACCAGCAGCGAGGTGGAGAAGAATTTATGGGACTTGTGCTTCTCTCAGAAAGAAAACCTAATTTAGACATAACATCACTATAATTCAAGTCACAGTCTTCGGTTTCAGCATTATAAGATGGTGAGGGAGGAGAAAGAATAGCATGTGACCGTCTTTTCCTGAAAGACAAAGTTCTTTTAACATTTTCACTATTTGTCCTTTGTTGCTTACCAGGTTTTTTCTTAGTAGACTTATGTTTTGATTTTCTTCTGTGACTTTTCTTTGGTGTTAGTGGATAAATGGGATATTTGGTTGCAGGGGAGTCAGGAACTTTTGGCCAAAAATCCTTCAAAGGTGCAAGCTTTTTATAAAGTTCCATTTTTTCCTCTGTTAATATTACTTGCTTTTCTTTAGAGTCTATTTTCCCTAGCTTCACAAGCATATTTTTTCTCCCTCTAAATCTATTAATAATAATATACTTTATGATGACAGGAGGCAGCTTTTTAGACATTTTTCTTCGTTTTCGAGATTTGAGAGTTCCATCTAAACTTTCGCCAATTTCCATGGGATGAGGTAGGCTAACTTTTGAGTTGTGTGTTACAAAACTTGACTCACTATCTTCAGTCTCATAATTTACCTTGCGTTTGGCTCTAAGTGTGTATTTATTTCCATACAATCCAAAGGACTGCTCAGTTTCTAAGCTTCCATCTCCAAAGTGACAGTCTACAAAACTGTCTGTAGGTGTTTTATTTTCAAAAGCTCCACGGGTGACTTTAATTAAATCACTGGCCAATACATTATCCTTCTCAGAATTACTATTACAAGTATTATTTTGCATACAATTATCTTTTGTGGATCCAGTCTCACTAGTTTTGCTAGAAGTTTCTTGATGACCTACAAGTTTCTTTTTACTCATTTTTAACCGGGACTGTTTATTGCCAGGTTGTAGTTTATATGTGACAGGAGCGAGTTTCTGTGGTCTACTGAGACAATTAGAAAGAACAACACTGGGAAAAAACATGTAATGTGCTGCTTGCTGGCTGAGGCTTGGCTTTTCTGTTTTATGTTCTTGAAATTCTTCATATCTAATTTTAAGTTTATTCAGTCCACTTTCATCAGCAATGCTATCAAGAGACTGCACCATAGTTCTGTTCTCCCCTGAACATGACAGCAATTCACAATTTTCAGTTAACGATGAAGGGAATAAACTATTCAGAGCTGTGCTGTTTCCTTTTTCATTTCCTTCAGATGATAATTTATTTTTTGAATGACTTAAGTCAGAAAAGTTGAAAGAATTTTTGCCCAATGTACTTTCGCAAGTGTGACGGTTCATATGTATAAAAGGGGCATCCTTATCAATTTTTCTAATGTTTGTATACTTTCTACTTGGTACTTGTCTTGTAACAGATGGAATCTCTTCTTCATAATCAAAAATACTACTTTCACAGGAAGATACCTGAACGATATCTTTCTTACTACTTTCTTTATGAGAGTTTTCTGAGTGGACAGTACTGCTTAGAGATCCAGGGTATTTCATAGAGTAAGTGCTTTCATTTGTAAAAGAAGCAACTGAACGATCTAGATCTTTTTCTGTGTTGTTTGGCTGTGAAAGGTCTTCAATTAAATCTTCCTTGTTCAGAACATGGGAAGAAAGGGCACTTGAGTGTTTACACTGAAAGGTAATCTTAGCAGAAGATGGGGGTTCTAACGTAGCAGCATCTTTATGAAAGATGGAAGGTTTTACTGATAGCTTGCTTGTTGCAATCACAGAAGAGTGGGTTCTAGAATTTTCGTTGTTCAATGGATTGTCTGAAATGGGGGAAAAAAGAATTTATTTCACTTCCACTCTTTTAATTTTTTGAATATTTTCCCAACCATGACAACATCGCCATGAAAGAAATTATATGACATTAAGTTTGTGTGTTTAAAATGGTTATCTCAACAAAAAGGTCACGGCTATCACTAGGAAAATAACTCAATCTAAATAGTCAAGAGTTAGTTATGTTTGATTATTAGTCGTTATTTTAAACACATATTCCTTTGATCAGAAATAGATTATATTAATATTCAGTGCCTCTAGGGGAAGTAAGGGAAAAATACTGTCACCTTAAAAAGTTTTCAAAAAATAATATGCTTCTTTATCACTTCAGATAAGCTACATATACTTCTTACAGTTTCTTATGCTTCTTAAATATTAACATGATAAACTGATTAAAGTTTATGAAGCTTTAAGTCAGTGATTAACAAATGTTATCCTCTTAGATCTACATTCTTTCAAAAGAAAAAATCCTGGAGAAGGACACAACACAACAATATTGTTATGGCCTCACTTAGTCAATTATATAGGAAGTGTGATTATGGTCTTAAAATATATTTTTAGCCCCTCAATAATGAAATGCTCACAGCATATTAGTTTACTTACCACTATTTTCATCTGCAGTTCCATCTAACTGAGGTATAGAAAGATTGCCTAGAAGCAAATTGTTATTACTCCATTCCATTTCTTCATCTGAAGATGAATCATCTTCTTCGGTTGAACTTCTATGGGTATTTCTGCACGGTGATCTAGAGAATATTAAGATTCACTAGTGAGTACGATTATTAGGAAAAAAGTATACAATTTGCTTAATTCGATGCTGGAACAATAAAACAATTAAAAAACCTTGAGAATTACAAATTTAAAAAGAAAAGCAGACTGGCTTTGCTTTATCATGCTACATTTTGTATCATGTCCTACAAAAAGCTGCTGTCGTAAATAGACTTGATAATCCCTTTTATGTGAGCCAGAAGACACCATCATTCCTGTCTTCAAAGCTCCACAATACCCTGGATTACCACATCTAATCATGTTCTTCTCTATATCCTCCCCTTCATCCTATCAGTACACATACACATATAACAGCTTGGTTGAGAATCTAGTAATTTCTAAAAAGGCAGTATATCCTGGTGTATTTTAAGAAGCCCCCATAAATACACAATCAATACATTATGAATTGGAAAAAACAAACAAAAGGGTAGGTTGGGGGTATTCAGGTCAGGGCTGAAAGAGAAATAACAGTGACCAGAGAGGGGCTGGGAAGTAGGAAAAGTGTTGAATCAGTCCCAGCAGTGGCTATAAAGCAGGGTTATACTGAGGAATTCAGATGGACTGTGAAGTCCAGATGGATCCTCTCTTTAAGTTTCATCTCAATTTAAATTTTTCATTAGATCCTAGCTTGATACCTTCCCATCTATCTGGATAGGCAAACGTATTTTCTATCTATACCTAATTTTTTCTTTCTCTTGCCTCAAAAATTTGAACATACACTTTATTATACATGGAACAGTTTCTCCATTAAGACTTTCTCAAATCACAATTTGTCCTAAAATCACTCTCTTAAAAGCTGAAAGAATTATTAGAGGTCATCTAGTCCAACTTTCTGCCCAATGCAAAAACTTTATTTTTAATAGATTCAACACAAGCGCTCTGCTTTTACACTCTCTGCATAAGGGGCTTGCTGTCTCACACAGTAATCTTTGCCGTTGTTAATGGGTCTAATTGCTAGTAATTTTCTTCCTATATTGCACAAAAATCTTTCTTTCCAACTTCTATACATTATTCCTGCTTTGGTCCTGTGTAGTCATATGTGGCAGGCCTATGCCATTTTCCACATGATAACTTTTAAAATATTTGAAGGCATTTATCATTCATCTCATAATTCCTCTCCAAGCAGAGCAAATGTTATCTATTCTTTCTACTGTTGTTTAAAAGTGATAGTATTACAGATCCTTCTAGTTTTCTTCTTCTTTCTTCCTTTACTTTCTGAGTATTTTTAAAATATGGTACTCAGGGCAGAATATAACATCCAATATACAAGCACAGAACTAAATGACTCCTTTTCTAGACACTATACTTCTATCATTCAATCTCTTTCTAATAAACATTTATGAAATGTTTAGATTTGTTTTCCCAAGGTTAAACTGGTCATAGTTTTCAAAGAGTTGGCCCAGTCAATGAACACACAAGCATTAATTAATCATGGGATATACCATGCCATTTTTTCTCCCCTCCCCAAAGCCCCAGTGCATAGTTGTATATCCTAGTTGTAAGCCCTTCTAGTTCTTCTGTGTGAGCCGCTGCCACAGCATGGCAACAGACAGGTGGTGTAGCTCTATGACCTGGAAGCAAAACTGGGCCACTGAAGCGGTGAGAGCACCGAACTTTAACCACTAGGCCATCAGGGCTGGGTGCACACTTATTATTTTAAACAGGCTGACACCACTGGTAAAAAGTAGATAGTGGCTTTATAAGAATTTTATACATTTGAATATGTACTCACTTAACAGAGATATAAAAGTATAAATAGCTAAACAAGGTATAATCTAAGAAACTGTAAAAGAAATGCTAATGATACGTTGAAGGAAAAAGCAAAGGGACAATACCAAAATAAAACAATGAAACAACAATGAAGAAAGGAAAATAAATTGAAATAAGAAAAAGTGAAATGCCACAAGATCATTCAACTAGAAACATCAAATAACCAACAACTTTGCCAAAATACAAAAGAAGTAATCCAATTTATTACAGCAAGACTTAAATATATGAAATAAATACTATAATTATTTATTAATAAAATCCAAAACCTGTTAGAATAATAAATCTCACCCCAGAAACAATTGGTAGCCAATAATTAAACTATTTTGGCAACCATACAACACTACAGACTTATTGTGCCTCTTTTTTTTTTTTTGAGGAAGATTAGCCCTGACCTAACATCTGCTGCCAATCCTCCACTTTTTGCTAAGGAAGACTGGCCCTGAGCTAACTTCTGTGCCTATCTTCTTCTACTTTATATGTGGGATGCCTACCACAGCATGGCTTGCCAAGCAGTGCCATGTTCCCACCCGGGATCCGAACCAGCAAACCCCAGGCCCCCGAAGCGGAATGTGTGAACTTAACCTCTGAGCCGCCGGGCCGGCCCTATTGTGCTCTGAACAAAGTAAAATCCATGGCTTTTCCAGAGACGTTGTTAAGTCCAGAATGAACTGAAGATCTAACGAGTCTATATTTGTGAAGCTGACCGATTGAACATGAACATATGACTCTACGCTTTATTAGGCACCACCTATTTTGTTTCAAGATGTTTTTGAATCTATATTGCTATCCAATGAGTTACCAATCTCCAATATTTGTGACCATCTCAATCCAATTTAGCATGATACTTGGCACATAGCAACCATTTAAGTGGTTTTTGAGTGCAAAATTAGTAAGCTCTTTGTGAACCCACCTAATTGGTCACTACTGCAACGTATTCTCCTTATCCACAAGGATATTATGTAAACTTTCTTAAATGCCTGGCTGAAATTAAGACTCAATACAATGATTGCATTCCCCTAAGTATTTAAAAAGGATATAAAGATGGTAGAGCCTGATTTGAACTCACAAAGGGTCCTGATATTCTCTGCTTCCCTTTCTAAATGCCCACAAAGTGTTTATTTAACAATCATAATTATCACCCCTATGATAGAGAGTAGGACGGGAAGCAAGGAGTTCAGTTAAAAAGTGAATCACAGTATTCCAGGTAAATGGTAATGAAGGCCTAAACTAGGATACTACCTTGGGAAGGAGGGCGATAGAAGGATGGAACAGAGGCTACGGTGACAAGTTGACTGACAGCGCTTAACAACAAACAGATAGGGGTGTAAAGGAGGGCAAGCCACATATAACACTGAAGTTGCAAATTTTCACAAGTTGGGAGGAAAGTGGTGTTATTACAGAACTAAGGAACAGAGAAAGAAGAACAAAACGATTTTATAGCACTGTCATTAAGGACTGCCTATGTTCCAAATGAGGCTGACGTGGTTGAGGCATTTCCCAACAGGATATGATGTCATGAAAAGATTTATAAAGTTTATACAAAAAAACCTGACAAAACAATTTATAGAATAGCTACAAAGAAGTTTTATGTCTTTACTTCACTTCTTTTTTTAATAGAGTAGGAAATATCAGCAAAAGGCATTCTATGACATGGCTGAGGGTCAAATCTATCAGGAAATCAAACAGTGATTCTGTCTGGACCAGGTAAAATTAGGTCTTCAAAGGTCAAGGAGCTGAGTCTCTGAATGATTTATCACTGTGACAGCAAAGGGGAGTGAGTATGTGAAACTAGGAAGAAAGCATGAAATAATATTTTGCAGTTCTGGAATTTCCTACTCATGGAATGAAAATGAAATTCTTTGTAGGAGCATTCTGTGAAAATATAGAAGAGAAGATTTTGATATATACACACATAACAGGAGAAGGGATCAGAAATTTTATTTTTTATATTAGGTAGTGCTGAGAAACTAGAGAAATATTACATATCTATTTAATATATATGTAAACATGTAATATGTATAAATATAATTTATGGATTAACTTCTTTCACCTTTCAATAATGGCTTTAGGGGTGAAAATTTCAAACACAAACTTCAAAAATTTTAGTACTGCCGGGGCTGGCCCCGTGGCCGAGTGGTTAAGTTCACGCGCTCTGCTGCAGGCAGCCCAGTGTTTCGTTGGTTCGAATCCTGGGCGCAGACATGGCACTGCTCATCAGACCATGCTGAGGCAGCGTCCCACATGCCACAACTAGAAGAACCCACAACGAAGAATATACAACTATGTACCGGGGGGCTTTGGGGAGAAAAAGGAAATAATAAAATCTTTAAAAAAAAAAAAGAAAAAATTTTAGTACTGCCTACGGAAGTTTAAAGGAGAGGCATACTCAGTGTTTTGGGCTCAGAGGCCTAATTTCTTCTATACATAGAGCATACAGCTGAGGGGCAGACTCAAACCAATCAAGGTAACAAGAGAGTGATATAAAACCACAGCACCATCTTATTCATTTACCTTGAGAAATGAACCAGAATACCAGTGTCTGCTTCTGGGACTCTTTTATTTATTTATTTTTAATATTGAATTCTTTCAGTCTAATCAGACTAGAAGCCATCCTTGTCTTCAAAGCTGACTAAAGTTGTTGCCCCGACCCTTCACAGTTTAACACTCAGAGGGCATTCTTTTTCCCCAAGTTCTGGGATAAGGAGGCACTTCTATTTTGCCCCATTTATTACTCACACATATTAATACTGCATAGATAAATGGATGATTTCTAAACATTAGGTTTATGGGGGAAGGAGGAATTGGAGGAAGGTGGTAAAAAGGTACAAACTTTCAGTTATAAGATAAGTAAGTACTAGGGAGATAATGTACAATATGATGACTACAGTTACCACTGCTAATATGATATATAGGAAAGTTCTTTTTTTCCTCCTTCTTCTTTTCCCCAAAGCCCCCCAGTACATAGTTGTATATTCTAGCTGTAGGTCCTTCTGGTTGTGCTATGTGGGACACCACCTCAGCATGGCCTGACGAGTGGTGCTAGGTCCATGCCCAGGATCTGAACCAGGGAAACCCTGGGCTGCTGAAGCAGAGTGCACCAACTTAACCAGTTGGCCACCGGGTCGGCCCCTATAGGAAAGATCTTAAGAGAAGAGTTCTTGTTACAAGGAGAAAATTTTTTTTCTTCTCTCCCCCAATTTTTTCCCCATTTCTTTTTATTGTGTCTACATGAGGTGATGGACGTTAACTAAACTTACTGTGGTAATCATTTCACAATATATGTAAGTCAACTTTTATGCTGTACACCTGAAACTCATATAGTGATAAAAGTCAATTATATCTCAATAAAACTGGGAAAAAAGAAAATAAAAGTTAAGCTTATTTTTTTAATGTAGCAAAATTTTATTTTTCTTGGAATATGAAATTACACCACGTGAAAGACAAAGCACTACTTAAAAGGGATTTAAAAGTAAATTTATAACATTTTATGTTATGCATAATAGTAAGAAATAATTTCTGATTAAAGAAGAACTGTGATAATTACTAAAGCATGTTATTAAACCAACTGAAATAACTCAAACGTTACCTCTTTTTGGCACAATGTTCTTCAATATTGCTGTCCCATCTCTGAGACATCACCAGACTAAGCTCCATTTCTTCTTTTTCAATCTGTGGTTCATTTTCTTCATCATCACTATTTTGGAGATTTTTAGTGTTTCCAAAGGAGTGACATTGTGACGGCATCCTATTTCTTTCTCCCTGATATCCATCATTTTCCAAACCAGCAAGAAGACGTACCAGAGCCTCATCAGGACTACTGTCCACTACAAAACAAGTGAAGCATCACCAACAAATAACTTAAGTTTTCTAAATAATTCAACAATTCAGATAATTATAAAATAACAACAAAATCATAGATACTGGCACATGCTGAAAGAATACAGCTGGTGCAAAGACGCTGACAAAGCTCCTCCATCACAGTATGATCCTTGGAACATCTGCATTAGAATGATTTTCTGTCCTTATAAAAAAGAACATCCCCAGACCTCACTCCATATCTCCCGAAACACAATTTCTGAGGTAGGGCCCAGGAACTTACATTTTAACAAGCTGCTCAAGCTCTAACTGCAAACTTAACTAAACCAAATATGGTCACAAGTGTTCAAAATAAATATAAAATATGCAATAAATATATGAAAATGATAAGAAAGTGACTTAGGGGCCGGCCTGGTGGTGCAACGGTTAAGTGTGCACGTTCTGCTTCGGTGGCCCAGGGTTCGCTGGTTTGGATCCTGGGTGCGGACATGGCACTGCTTGGCAAGCCATGCTGTGGTAGGTGTCCCATATATAAAGTAGAGGAAGATGGGCATGGATGCTAGCTCAAGGCCAGTCTTCCTCAGCAAAAAGAGGAGGGAGGATTGGCAGCAGTTAGCTCAGGGCTAATCTTCCTCAAAAAAAAAAAAAGAAAAAGAAAGTGACTTAAAAACAATACATGTAAACACCTCATCCCTCACATAAGCTTTACTCAGCTCAAAGGATGGTCAAAGGAAAATTGTTGCTGAAAAACACAAGAGAGCTTTAAAAGTGGTTAATAAAATTACTTAAAAAACCTTGAAGACCACAATGAGATACGATTGTATCTCATACAGTAGGGATGCTAAAATCAAAGACAGATAATAGCAAATGTTGACAAGGATGTAAAGAAACTGGAGCCCTCATACATTGCTGGTCAGATTGTAAAATGGTACAGCCACTTAGGCAAAAAGTTTGGCAGTTATTCAAAATGTTAAACATAGAGTTACTATATGACCCAGCAATTCCATTCCGAGGTACATACCCAAGAGAACTGAAAATATATATCCAAACAAAAACCTACACAGGAATAATCACAGCATTATTCATAATAGCCAAAAAAGTGAAAACAACCCAGATTTCCATCAACTGAAGAATACATAAATGACGTAAGTTATATCCATACGATGGAATATTATTCAGCATTAAAAAGCAATGAAGTACTGATCCGTGCTACAACATGGATGAACTGTGAAAACATCATGTTAAGTGAAAGAAGCCAGAAACAAAAAGATATATGATTCCATTTATATGAAATGCCAAAAATAGGTAAATCCAGCAAAAAAGAAAGAGATTAGTAGTTGCCAGGGGCTGAGAAGACGGAAGAACAGGGAGTGACTGCTAATGGATAATGGGGTTTCTTTTTGGGGTGATAAAAATGTCCTGGAATTAAATAGTGGTAATGATTGCATAACTCCATGAATATGCTAAAAATCACTGAAATGTACACATTAGAAGGTGAATTTTATAGTATGTGAATCATATACTAAAACAAAAAAAAGACCAGAAAGATGGAGGTTTGCTCTAATCTAGTACACAAACTTTTTTTCTGTAAAATTAGATAACATATTCACCATTTACTAAAATATCAAGTTTCAGGTTTTCTTTGTTGACATTAGAGAAATTGGTTCAATCGTGCTGCCAAATATAAAGCAAAAATGAAGATATTTGCTTATAAGAGCCATTTTGGAAAAAATGCATTTCTTAAACCTAGAATTGCAGTTTATTTTTCCTGCTTCACACTTTAAAAAGATTAACATTAGCAAATGAATTATAGATATTTGACTCTCAGCTCTTTGACTAACATTGAGATTGCATTTTTGCAACCTTAGGCCAGGTGGAATTATATCTGCTCACGATATATGATATTTGCCTAATGTAATGAAATAAGGATATGCCTCTCTCCCTTCTCTTTGTCAATTCTTTAATTTTCTCTATGTTCCTCTGTTTTCACTGTTTGTTTTTTATAACTAGAATGTAATTTAAGTCTATATAAATTTATTTATTTGCTCATTCATTCAGATGGAGAAACAGAACATTTTAGATTATAAACTTCAAATTAATTTTTAAACGTGGTCTTTGGGTCATTTCTTTCTGCATATGCCATTCATTGAAAAACAATTTTTCTTACTCCTGTCTAAAATGTTCTTGAATTTGTGTACAATAATTTTGGTAATGTCCCTAGTCAGCCAATTTGTATTCCATTCAAATGAAAATGTAGTTAACAGAGAGAAACTAGGATCACATTTGATGCTATACCTCATTTGATACAATATGAAAAAACAGAAAGTGAGCAAGGAAAGAAACATAAAATCACTATACCAAGCAAAACAAGAGGCATGAAGTTCAATATTTCACTTTCTGCAATGAAATTTTTAAAAAATTTGTGAAAAAGATATCAGTAATTCAGACTAAATTATTGAAATGAAACCTAGCAAACGGCTTATGACGCTAATGAAAATGCCTTTAGGGAGATGCAAGGACACTCAGAAATAACTGTCATGTTCTACAGTAGCCAAAAATTAATGGCTTGAAAGAATTGTCCAGGGAAATTTCTGACACTCACCGAGAAAGAATCATTTATGGTATTTTACTATGTACTTAATTTTAGAGAATTTTAATTCAAAATAAGCACATGTTCCCCCTAAAGCAATATGGTGTTCTTCCAACCAAAGTGAAGTTAAAAAACAAACGGAATTATTTTCCTTTAATTAATTTCTAGAAAAAGCTGCGGAGAAAACAAAAAAGAAAGCTACTTCATTTAATTTGAGGTTTCACTTTTATACTAACTAGAGCAAGGATTTATTGAATATGCAACACTAACCTCTTCAAATCAAAGAAAAAAAATACCCCTCACATACGTACTTTTGTCGATTTAAAATACTGAAAATTTATGGTAGAACTGTTACTTACAGAAAACTGGTGACTCACTCAGTCTTTGAGCCAAAGGCTGAAAAGTCTGACTATTTTCCATAAGGTTCAAAATTGCTTCTTCATTAATAAGAGCTTCTTCCACTTTGTGTCTAGTGTGACCTTAAGATGACAAAGAATACAAAAACATTAAAGCAATGGCCTAACTCTAAAATTTATAGTTTAGAATTTGTGTAAATAGGGAGCATTACAGTGTAAACCTATTTAAAATTTTGAACTGCTGGTGATATATGTAAAATACAAACATAATAAAATTTAATAAAAACCACAGGAATATCTAGCCAGTCACATGGAGTAATTAAAAAAAAAACTCCTGAATCTGTGAATCACTAAAAATCTGCAATCTCTTTAGCCTCTTCAATCCGACCTAGTTTGTACAAATAGGTATATTACTCGGATAAAAATCATTGCACATTAAAATATACAAAGGGAAAAGAAAAGACAAACTGTCTTATTTGAATAATAAAATTCTTTATTCTCTATGGTTTAAAAATTACAAATAAATTCATTTTACTTTAATTTTATATTTCTCAGAAAACTTTCAACTCATGATCTAAACACATGTCTTTCGGGGCTGGCCTGGTGGTGTAGTGGTTAAGTTTGCACCCTCTGCTTAGTGGCCTGGGGTTCGCAGGTTCAGATCCCAGGTGTAGACCTACATATCACTCATCAAACCATGCTGTGGCGGTGTCCCACACACAAAATAGAGGAAGACTGCCACAGACGTTAGCTTACTGACAACCTTCTTCAAGCAAAAAGAGGAAGACTGGCAACAGATGTTAGCTCTGGGCCAATCTTCCTCACCAAAGAAAAATATATTTATATTTAAATCTTTCGACGTTATTTTTATGAAGGTCTAATGTACAGAGAGATTAAATAATTTTAAGAACAAAAATAAAATAATCTCCTATTAAAATCTAGTCAAAGGGTGAGATAGAGAATACAAAGCAAATAGTAGTAGGGAAAATAAGACTTTAGAGCAAAAATGGCAGGCAGTTGTAAGAGAGCTAACTGGAAAACAGTTCTATTTTTCTGTTTCTAGTATTCACACTTAATGTTTTCAACAGTTTTTAAAAGAGAGTTAAAAGCTTCAGGAAGAAATATTTTTAAACATCCTATGACCTAACTGGGTTAATAAAGAGTATTTAATCAAAACAAGAGAACAAACAGAGAACTATGAAAATAGCTAATCCCAAAACAAAAGACAATTGAGAGGATCAGTAAAAACAAAAGGCGGTTCTCTGAAACTAATAATAAAACAGACGACTGGCAGGAATGATCAAAACAAAATAGAAAAAGGCATAAATAAATTATGTTTCAAATAAAAGGGGAAGTGCCAAAGGAAAAAGAGAGATGTTAAACTAATACTATGAATAGCTTTATACTAAAAACATGGAAAAACCAGATAAAATGACTAATTTCATAGGAAAAATATGACACAAAACCCAGTTCAAAGAGAAATAGAAAGCTTGAGTAGATCTATAACAACTGTGGAAGTTGAATTTGAGGTTTAAAATTGATCCCCTTCTCCTCCTGCCCCCAACACCAAACCTACCCACAAAAAACTACACTAAGTCTGGATGGTTTTACATACTAGGTCTATCAAATCTCCAAGAAACAGATTACATCAACCTAACAAAAATTCTTGAAAAGAGAGTTGAAAAAGAGGGAAAGCCCCACAACTCATTTAATGAGGCAAAGTATGGATCTTTCTCAATTATTTAAAAAAAAAAAAGTTAAAACTCTATAAGTAAAATATTAGCAAAGCAGATATAGCAATGCTTGAAACAACACACCACATTGTGACAAAGAAGAGTTTATTTCAGGAGTGCACAGTTAAACATTAGAAAATAAAAATTACTTTAACATTACTACATTAACAGAATAAAAGAGAAAAATTGTGATTATGTCAATAAATTCAGAAAAGAATATTTGGGTAAACTTTAATATTCATTCATGATTAAAAAAGTAAAACTCCAAACTTCTTGGTAAACAAGAAATGGAAGCGATATTACTTAATCTGATTAAAGTTTATCTACCAATATCCTATAGTAAATATCATAATTGATGAAATATGGAGGCATTCCTTTTAAAGCCAGGAAAAAGACTATTATCATTTCTACTTAACATTATCTTTGAGTCCCTAAGCAGTGATTAAAACATTTGAAAAAAAAATATGACAATGGGAAGAGAAGCAATAAAACTGTTATTTGTAGAAGACAACTCTACACACAGAAACTCCAATGGAAAAGACATAGAAACCACTGGCACTCATAAACATTGCTGGATATAAGACTGGTATACAAAGGTCAGTGAAGTTCCTAAATATCAGCAATAAGATGACGTAATTTTTTAAAAATAAAACTTAAAACTGTAACAATTATAAAGCACCTGGAGTATATATTACAAAAGATATAAAATAATTTTACAAAGAAAATTGCAAAACTTTATTGAAATATATGAAAGAAGACCAAATAAAATGAGAAATAGATCATGTTCACTGATGAAACTATTTGGTATAAAGATTAAAAATGTTCGGGGGGCCGGCCCAGTGGTGCAGTGGTTAAGTGCCCATGTTCTGCTTCGGTGGCCCGGGGTTTGCCAGTTCGGATCCCCGGTGCAGACACGGCACCGCTTGGCACGCCATGCTGTGGTAGGCGTCCCACATATAAAGTAGAGGAAGATGGGCATGGATGTTAGCTCAAGGCCAGTCTTCCTCAGCGAAAAGAGGAGGATTGGCAGCAGTTAGCTCAGGGCTAATCTTCTTCTTCTTCTTCTTCAAAAAAGATTAAAAATGTTCCTAAATTGGTCTATAAATTCAATGAATTCCCAATAAAATCTCAACAGGGTTCTTCCCAGAAACAAAACAATCTGATCCTAAAATTAATATGGGGGAACTTTTTTTAAAGATCAAATAGACAAGACAATTTTGAAGCCAAATAAGGGAAGATCTGCCCCTTATACTTATAAAGCAACAGTAATTACAACGGCATGATATTAACACAGGGGAACATGACTGAAGTGGGACAATTCATGGAAAAAAACCCAACTAAGTATGTTGGAACAAGCAGCTATTTATTACAATTAGATCCTTACTATATATACAAGTAAAATTTCAGATGAATTGAAGACCTAAATGTGAAAAACCAAAGTGTAAGCACACATAAGCCTTAAGAATGAAAACTTTCATTACCTCAGGGTAGGGAAGGACTTGTAAACCAGGTTTTGAATCATAATGGCAAAAAGTTTTACACCTGGCACTATCAAATGTTGTTGAGGATGTAGGGAAATAGAGAAATATAAGGTCTAATAAATTGTGGGAATATAAACTTAGGTAGATCATTTTACTGGACAATTCTTTAATACTGGCATTACTAATACAATGTGATATTTTTATTATTAAAATACTTCAAAATCTGAAAAACTGAGCACTGAAAATAAAAGGGTTTGTAGGAGAACAAAAAGGTTAAGGCAAAACTTATGCAACTTTGTAATTAGAGCATTGACAAAATCAGTAATTGGTACCCCAGGAGGTAACTCTGATCAGTCAGGCAGACAGCTCAGTGTGGCTGGAGGCAGTTATAAAGGCTACTAAAAATGCAGGGAAAATAATAGTATGGAAATGTTGGGTGCATTTTGATCAGAGATGTGGCTGGTAGATACTTAGACAAAGCAAATGAAAGTAGAGCTCTGAGCCAGTGGGCTGCCATTAAGGTGAGCTCAGGAGATGTGCAACGTGCCACGAGTCAGAGATTGTGCAATGCTGGGATGCAAATCTTAAGGAGGGAGGAAGCCCTGGTGTAGGTGCTCATTTTTAGTTGCTGTTTCACACAGTCAAAAGAGCCCCTACTGCCAATACAGCAGTGAAAAGACAGCTTTTCCTTTCCTGCTGAAGACTGTAATTCTACTCCTGCTAACCTGGCTGCCCTTGCCTAGAAAAACTGTGGAAAGAACAATGTGACTTCTGGATAAACCTTTCATTATTCTCTCATTTAGCAATCATGTATAAGCTAATTGCATTACAGAAACCCTGTCATGCGATCTAGGTAGAGTACAATACACATACCCTAAAACCTGGCAAATTACACTTCCATATGTCTTCTGTAGAGAAACTCTTGCACAGAGCCACAAGGTGACAGATATAACACTGTTAATAACAGTGCAAAAGTGAAAACCATCTAATAGTTGTAGAGAAACAGATAAATCTGTTTAGTCGTACAAAGGAACACTAATCAGCAGTTAAAATGAATGACCTAGAAACATTATGAACAAGATAGATTTCAAAGTCATAATGTTGACATAAAAGATACTCAACATCATTAGTAATAAGGGAAATAATTAAAACCATAATGAGATGCCATTTCACACACACTAGGACGGATATATAAAGAAGACAGATAATAACAAGGTTAGTAAGGATGTTGGGTCACTGGGACTCTCACATATTGCTGGTGGGAATGTTAAACAGTGCAATCACTTTGGAAAACAGTTTGGCAGTTTATTAAAAAATTAAACACAAATTTACCAAATGACTGAGCAATTTCACTCCTTGGTATACACTCAAGAGAAATGAAAATATGTATCCACACAAAGACTTGTATACAAATGTTCATAAGCAGCATTATTCTTAAGAGCCAAAAAGTAAAAAACGACCCAAATATCCATCAACTGATAAATGAATTAACAAAATATGGTATATCCATACAATGCAATACTATTCGGCAATAAAAAGAAATGAAATACTGATAGACACTACAATATGGATGAACCTGAAAAGATTATGCTAAGTGAAAGAAGCAAGACACAAAAGATCACATATTGTATGATTTCATTTATATGACATATCCAGAGAAGGCAAATCTTGAGAGACAAGAAAGTAGATTAGTAGTTATTTGGGGCTGGAGGTGGGAACAGGTGTGACTGCAAATGGACACAAGGAACCTTTTGGAGGTGAAGGAAATGTTCTTAAATTGAATTATGCAGATGTTTGCACAACTCTGTAAATTTACTATAAATCACTGCATCATATACTTAAAATGAGTGAATTTTCCCTCATGTAAATTATATCTTAATTCAGTTGTTAAAAACATGTTGAATGAAAAAAAGCAAGTTGCTTAATGTATGCCAAATAGAACACCATTTATGTAAAATTTAAAATCTAAAATAATAGTATATATTGTGGACATACATATATAAGAAAATATAAAATCACACATGGTAACAGTTTGCACTAACTTCAGAACAATGCTTAGCTCTAGAGATGAAGAAAAGTTAGAGGAATAGGAGAGAGGTTTTTGCCATATTTATGATGTTTATTTCTTAGGGGGGAAAAAAACTTAGCCAACTTAACCACATACTAATGTCTCAGTGCTAGATATATGGATGTCTGTTAGGGTATTTTCCGTATACTTGAAAAGGAAACCTCACCTTTGCTCAACTCTGTGTCTTTATGGACTTCTACCATATTAGCTGGCGTACACTGCAGAATTTCAGGAGACAGAACCTCAGGGTGCAATGTTAACTCAGCAGAGAACTCCTGGGATCCGTCACTGTAGTCCACAGATCCTGATAATGTTCTGCTTAATTAAAACATAACCTTTATAACAAACTAGACAACAAAGCAATAAAATTAGTTCTGAGATCTGTAATAAATAACCACTTACACAGAGAAATCATTCTGTTTGAGAATTTCCTGAAGTCTCTTCTGAAATTTTTTTTCATTTTCTGTTGCTGGCACAAACCTGCGATCTTTGAATTGTAAAAGTGCATTAAAAAATGTAGATAGCAAACGAAAGAAACATTTTCCCTTTCTCCTAGAGTAGCTTTTAAAATGGTAGCAATTTCCTATCCTTTTCTTGACACACAGAACACCACCCAAAAGCAGTCCTATTATAAAAATCAAACAAGAAAGAAATGGTTGTTACTAAAGCTATAAAATTAAGCACATAAAGTCAGTTCAAGATTAAGTTCTATAATTAGACTTAAATCCAGAGCAGAAAAACACTGTTCTCTTCCTATAAATGTATCATATGCCCTGAACCTAGCAGTTTTCCCTTCATAAAATATAATATTTTCCCTTTATAAAATACAGTATTCCTATTTTAAAAGGTATAAAAAGCATTAGAAATTTCTCAAGGCATTTTTAGTGTCCAAACACTATAATAAAAACTTTAATTTGACTTCAAATTTTATTAAAAAATTTTAATTGGACTTCAGGCTTACTACTGTATTTCAAATACATTTGCCTTTTGAATTACGTCTTTTATTCTTTTACCTTTATTTTTAAAATTTTGTTGTATCCATGGCATTTAATTGAGCCCCCTCAAATTCTTTTTGAATGTAGCAGGGTTTAATAATAAATAAAATGAATATTTCCCTTCAGAGCTGTACAAGATGATCAAAGTGAGAGTTTATATAACATCTCCAAGAAAACAATTTGGGGGCAGTATTTCATGGGTTACATTTTCAAAGCTTAATGAACTAAATACAGTGTTTCTAAGTTGGGATTCATCATCTCTGTGAGTATTCTACAGTTCATTTGGAAATAGAGAAGACTAGAATATACTAGAGAATGAAAAAGGAGCAAATAGGTGGGGCAAGAGGACAAGGTATGGTGAAAACCGAGGACAATGAACAGGTCTATTTCTTACCGGGAGAGAGACAATGAGTGACACTTGGGAGGTAAAAATTACAGTTCAGAGCAACGACAATAAGAAAAAATATAGGAAATTTAAAGGTAATTCAAAAAGTAAAATCGAATGTCAAGGTAAATTAATGGCTTAAACTTTTCCATTAAAATACCTAGTTAAAAAAAATAAACCAGTCCTATTAGGTTCATACCTTGTGATTCGGGTTGGCTAATTTGAGAAGTTTCATTTCTGTTTCTTCGCCGTTGCTTTTCATCTTCCCAGATGGCCTGTAGACCAGGGTTTCCACCAATTTGAGCTGTAATCACAACAACACTTCACTACTATAAAGGTCAAAGTGAAAAATACTTGCTTAAAAAAAGAAATCCAAACTTTTTAAATACTGACTTTTAAGAAAAATAATTACTTATTTTGTGTAATAAAACAGACAAACTATCCCAACCTACATTTATTATGCTACTCCGTTTTAGTTTTCTTCCTATTGGTTCCCCAAAACCCAGCAGGTGAATAAGATTCAAACATTTGATGATAGCCAATAGACCTAAGGGTCCCCTCCCTGGCATAAAACCTGAATATAAAAATACTAAAAGGCAGACTATATTAAACTCGTTTATAATGGCTAATTTATTTAGTGTCACACTTACTTTAGGTTCATGTCTATGAAAACATACTCATATGAATGAAAATGGAAACTAAAAAAAAATGAGTATCTCATCAGAGATAGAGAAGCAATCTACATGACATCTTGCATCCTCCTATAACATCTTACTTCCCTAGTAATGTTTTCTTCCCTACTTTCTCCACTCTACTTAGGTCATTAATTTTTATAAATAAAAACTTACATTAAGAATAATTGTGTATTACCTTCAATGTCCAGCCGATTTAAGATATCAGCAGCTACAGCATCCACTTCTAATTCACATGTACTCTGAGGTTCAACACCTTCCAGTATTAATGAGCTGTATTAAAAAGATATCAAAAAACACACTAATTATGTAAGAGCAAATTTTCTGAAGATTTTTCTTACTTATACAATTTTTCATGTTTAGGTGATAATCAGAAAAGCCAGTGATATTATATTAATTCACAGTTATTCGTGACATAATTGATACTGTGTGTGTACACATAAAGAAATGAAAAACGGAGAAAAATACAAAACCTATTATATTGACAGTCTATTGAGATCCTTTTGCAGCAAATTTTACATATTTTGGTTCATGACACTTTCTATATAAGAAATATAACATTTTAGCACGTGAGTCATATCCAGGGCAAAATGGGATAAGATAACAGAGGGACGATAGAGGGATGCATCAAAACCATACCCATATGCAATCATTTGCCCAGAGGCAGCTTTCTCAGCAGTCATAGATGGTTTAAAAAAAAATGAGAAGAGAATATGCAACAAGAGACGAGGGTAGGTGAGCATACTGAAAAAGTAGGTAAATGACACTGTTCTCCCTGCCCTCAACTACTGCTGAGCTGGGGAAAGCTTTAAAGTTCTCCCTAATGACAGAACTGAGAAACCACATAGGTTCAACAGCGGAGTGACAGCTAGGAGATGTGGTGACAGCATGAGGTCATTAATTTTTTATGAGAATTACAGAGGGTTGTTCCCACTAATGCTGACTCAAAAGCATTTTTGTTTTTCATCAGAGCCACAAAAAAGATTAGGAAGACACCATATAACTGTCCCTGCTTGACAGAATGAACATACAATGTCTAACGTGGATCTCAGTTTACTCATTCTACGATTTAGATCTCCTACCCATATGGGCGCCAAATGAAAAGGAGAGAACTTTTACTAGGAAGTGGGTGATGGCAGATTTCATTAACATTTTTATTTTAAGAGAAACATATTAGCTAAACCTTATTTTCCATTGTCTATCCCTAAGAAAATTTTGATGGAACATTAGAAATTATTAACTTGTTAAACCACAGAAATCTTACAATTTAAATAAACATACATGTATACAGAGAAACACAAAACACACATGGTTTTGCTTTGTCCTTATACTAAAAAGTTTCACAATTTTTGGAAGAATTATATTGTAAATTTCAAGGGTAAATTGTCCAGAAGTAGCACATTGGTGACAAAGGAGGGAAACAGTAACATCAAATAATGCAATCTTATAGTAGAAATTTACAACTATCTCCAGCTCTTATTACAAAACTACTTCAGACATTCTGAATAGAAGATGTTCCTAGGGAAAGGAAGTAGTTTTCAGAATTAATGACCTGTTTCCAGCATATAGAAAAAGCATGAATAAAAAATTTGAGTCAGCAAATACATGTAGACCATGCATTTTAGTCATGAAAAGTAGATAAGTAACACAATGGCAATTAGACAATTGGGCCTCCCTGAACATTTCTGGTCATAGCTTAACACCACAGACCTACTAATTAGAAACACTGAGGGGGAAGTTCAGACATCTATAACTTTAAAAATCTCTTCAGATCATTCTGATGGACAACCAGGGTTGAGATTAATGCAGTAGACTCTACTTTGTGGATTCAACACTCCAGCAAATGATCCTGAATGTTCGTGATATGTGGTAATTTACAATGAGCTAGCAAATAAGTAGGAGAACTGCTTACTCAGCACTCTCATCTTATTACAAGTTTGTTGCTCTCTATTTGTTATGGCCCTTGTAATAATGTTTATGAAGGGATAAAAAACATTTCTTTGTTAAGAGAAAAAAAAAAGGTACCCAGAAGAAGGTGCTAGCACTGGCATAGAAATGAGACTAATAAAATATCAGAGTACTGATTTATGGCAAAATTTTTTTACATTGTTATTTGTACTTGATGAAATTATGGACTTTCATGTTGAATACAATATAAGCATCCCCAGAATACAAATTTATGGGGTAATCTGAGACAAAAATATGTAACTATCCTACATTTATTATAAATTCTAATTCCGAATACCTTGTCTAATTTCACCAGTTTGCCTACTCATATCTTTGTTTATAATTTGCCAACTCTTAAAAGTAACAAAATAGCGGGGCTGGCCCCGTGGCCGAGTGGTTAAGTTCGCGTGCTCCGCTGCAGGTGGCCCAGTGTTTCCTTGCTTTGAGTACTGGGCGCGGACATGGCACTGCTCATCAAACCATGCTGAGGCAGCGTCCCACATGCCACAACTAGATGGACCCACAAGGAAGAATATACAACTATGTACTGGGGGGCTTTGGGGAGAAAAAGGAAAAAAATAAAATCTTTAAATTGTTAAAAAAAAAGTAATAAAATAGGCTCCTTAAAAACATTCTAAAATTTGAGCTTTTCATTATAATACAGAGGGTTTCCCCAAACTTACTCCTAACCAGTGGGGCTTTACTAGTTTTATGATCTAATCAAAAAGACGTTTGTTCAAAAGGGCTTCAAATACAAATAAACTTTGATTTTAATTGATCGTGCAAAAAACAGTTTAGTAAATGTAAAACTTTGAAAACCAAGGGGGATCTAGCCAGTAGGTAAAATCCTTGGGTCAAGCTGATTTGCTCCAATTTTAGAGAGAGAGAGGGACTGCATCACAGGCATAAAACTGAGACAGCAAATAGCTTGTTGGTCACTCTGCTCTGGACAAATTGGAACTTGAATCTCATGTGGTAAATAACACTCTCTCTAAACTTAATACCATTTCAACAAGATTATAAAAACAATTCTGCTTATCTCCAAAGGAACCAAGAAGTACATGTGTATGTGTAAGCGCATGTGTGTGTGTGTTTATCAAAAAGTCCTGATATTTGTTGAGCTAAACCAAGAGGTAAGGCAAGTCACTAACTGTCCATGTCACTTTGAAGTTTTCGAAGTCTCATTCTGGTATGATATTCCGGTCATAAAACAATGTATTTCTATTATTATTTAATGAGATTCTTTCTTGATTTTAGGCATTAAAAAGCCCAAGTAATTCTATAATATGGAAATTTTGTCAGGTACATATTACGATCTTAAGCTACATAAATTAAGCTCTAAACAAATATTTTTACGATAGTTTATCTTCAATTAACAAATTCACATTTTCTTATCATGAAATAAAAAATAAAGTCATTTAAACATTTTTTCCACCTTGCATTCTTCATTAAAAATATCTGCTGTTTTAAAAAGCATCAGGGGACGTGTAGTGAAGAGCGGAAAACCATAACCACCCTGCCAATACCCAACTGCTCAATAAAAGGATCAAGAAAGTTTGGGCAATACTTTGTAGTATAAAACAGAACTCCCTCTGAGTTCTATGCAGATAAAGCTATTATTGATAATTTATAAAATAGTCACAAGAAATCACAAATGATATTATTCATACACAGTATGTCAACCCACTTTTTTCCATAAATACTTAATATTTAGAAATTTGAGGGGTTATTTTTATTAAAAGTATTTGCTATTTAGGTTTTAAATTATTTCATTATGTGATTTTTACCTGGCAAGTTATAGGATATCAATTTAGAATGCAAGATGAAGATGGATGTTGGAGAGACATATAAACATTTACAACCAGATTCCTTTTATTAATTAGGTAATAATCAGGTATATTTTCATGGTCTGTTTCTAAAATCTATGAATCCATCTAACATACTAATGTTGAGACTTGCTTTTTTGATAAACTTACAGATTAAAAAAACAAATATAAGGTTAAAATTAAATTATGGTAACCACTGATTTATGAATACAGTAGGATACACGTGAATAAGTTTTCTTTTCCTCTACAACATCAACTAACCTTGGTATTTCATTTTCTTCCCACCGAAATAAAGTACCAGTAAGAGAATTTCCTGGTAGCCGATCCTTGCAAGATCCAGTTGGATGCAATGGATTACCTAGGAACAGAAAGGTAAAAGTGGAGAAGTTCTACTTTTAACTTGCATATAACTACCCTTTAAGTAAAATAATATATGACCTATATGTCTAGTTCCTAAAATTGTGTCCTAAAATTCACACACAGGTAAGAATACATATGCACAGTTGAGAGTAATGGTTCCAAACGAAGAGGGGAAAAATGTATTTGCAATATATGAATATGAGAGAGAAATGACTACAATACTTTCATACTAGAATAAAATTATGATACATCTAAATGTACCATTGTGGCAGGTATGTTTAAAATCTCATTTTTTAAAAAAAAAGAAGAATTAAGAATTTTTGTAGAGTTTAATCTAAATTCCTAGGATATCCTGTATGGGTCTCAACTAAAATTCTAGTGGGAAGCAGATTCCAGATAAAAATAAAACATACTTTAATATACTAATCCCTGAACAACAAAAAATACACAATGCATTCCAAAAGTAATGGCAGTAACAGTGAGTGGAAACCTGGGGCAAAAGCAAATATAATGACCATTAGTACAATACTACTGGTACTGAAGAAGGTACAACACATGTTTGCTTAGTTGTCCCAGTTTCAGAAACTGAGTCCTGGGGTCATGCTTTGGAAGTACTCTCTAAATTTTAGCAACTTTTCCGTGATCTCTTGTGGGAATTTAAATCTTCACATAAGAAAAAGCCTGAATGAGTGGCACAGAAAGAATCTTAACATTAAGAAAGATATTAAAATCCCTGACTACAAAACATACTACAAAGCTACAGTAATCAAAACAGCATGGTAACGGTACAAAAACAGATGCACAGTGCTCGCTTCGGCAGCACATATACTAAAATTGGAACGATACAGAGAAGATTAGCATGGCCCCTGCGCAAGGATGACACGCAAATTCGTGAAGCGTTCCATATTTTTCATAGAGGACAAGTGAGATTTGGTGGGTGCCGACAGCAACGGAGCGACAAATATAAGTGATCCCACCCCTGGCCGCTGGAAAAGCCCATAACACCGTTGCAGACCCCAAGGAGAGAGCGCATCTAGGTGGGCAACAACAGTAGGCACCTGCAGCCTGAAGCCCCCCTGTGACGGCCCCCACGGCAGAGGAGGGAATCCAAAGGGCCACTGTGGCTACGAAGAGGGGCCCAGGCCCAGTTAGCAACTACGGACAGGGTTCCTGGTTGGTGCAGTATAAACAGCTGCTCCCCCCACCGCAGCAGCTGAAACAAGTGAAAGGAGCAACTAAACTCTATCTCCATGCGGAGGCACAAATCAACAACATCAAGCAATATGAAAAAATACATTAAATCTCCAGAACAGAAAGAAAGTAACAAATACACAGAAAACAATCCCAAAGAAAATGAGATATATAACCTAAATGATGATGACTTCAAAACAGCCATCATTAAGATTCTCAATGAGTTAAGAGAGAATTCTGACCGACAACTCAACGAGTTCAGGAGCTATGTCACAAAAGAGTTTGATACGATAAAGAAGAACCAAACAGAAATATTGGAAATGAAGAACACAATAGAGGAGATTAAGAAAAATCTAGATGCTCTGAACAGTAGGGCCGATAATATGGAGGAAAGAATTAGCAATTTGGAAGATGGCAATATAGAATTGTTGCAGGCAGAGGAGGAGAGAGAAGCAAGACTTAAAAGAAATGAAGAAACTCTCCGAGAATTATCAGACACAATTAGGAGATGCAACGTAAGGATTATAGGTATACCAGAGGGAGAAGAGAAGGAGAAAGGGGCAGAAAACCTATTCAAAGAAATAATGGCTGAGAACTTCCCAAATCTGGTGAGGGAGATGGATCTTCAGGTGACAGAAGCCAATAGATCTCCAAACTTTATCAATGCAAGAAGACCAACTCCACGGCATATAGTAGTGAAGCTAGCAAAAGTCAACGACAAGGAGAAAATATTAAGGACAGCCAGGCAAAAGAAACTAACCTACAAAGGAACTCCCATCAGGCTATCAGCAGATTTCTCAGCAGAAACTTTACAGGCTAGAAGAGAGTGGAATGATATATTCAAAAATCTGAAGGACAAAAATCTACAGCCGAGAATTCTCTACCCAGCGAAAATATCCTTCAAATACGATGGAGAAATAAAAACTTTCCCAGATAAACAAAAATTAAGGGAGTTCATTGCCACAAAACCTCCTCTTCAGGAAATCCTCAGGAAAACCCTCATTCCTGAAAAATCCAAAAAAGGAAAGGGGCTACAAAACCAAGAGCAGAGGAGATAAGCACAAGGACAACAACAGAGAGTAGCAGCTCCACATCAGAACAGATTAAACCATGGGACGAGAAACAAAGGAAACTGAAGAAAAGCGGAAAACAAGACACAAAATGGTAGTGGTAGGCCCCCACGTCTCAATAATCACTCTAAATGTAAATGGATTGAACTCCCCAATCAAAAGACACAGAGTGGCAGGATGGATCAAAGAACAAGATCCAACAATATGCTGCCTCCAGGAAACACACCTCAGCCCCAAAGACAAACACAGACTCAGAGTGAAGGGATGGAGAACAATACTCCAAGCTAATAATGAACAAAAGAAAGCAGGTGTCGCTATACTAATATCAGACAAGGTAGATTTCAAAGCAAAACAGATAAAGAAAGATAAAGAGGGACAGTATATAATGATAAAAGGGACTCTCCACCAAGAAGACATAACACTTATAAATATATACGCACCCAACACAGGAGCACCAAAATTTGTAAAGCAACTCTTAATAGAACTAAAAGAAGACATCAACAATACAATAATAGTAGGGGACCTCAACACACCATTAACACCAATGGACAGAACATCCAGACAGAAAATCAACAAGGAAATAATAGAATTAAATGAAAAATTAGACCAGATGGACTTAATAGATATATATAGAACACTTCATCCAAAAACAGCAGGTTACACATTCTTCTCAAGTGCACATGGAACATTCTCAAGGATTGAACCATATTTTGGGAACCAAAGCAAACATCAATAAATACAAGAGAGTTGAAATAATATCAAGCATCTTTTCTGATCATAACGCTATTAAACTAGAAATCAACTACAAGAAAAAAGCAGAGAAAGGTGCAAAAATGTGGAGACTAAACAACACGCTTCTCAACAAACAATGGATCATTGAAGAAATTAAAGAAGAAATCAAATATTATCTGGAGACAAATGAAAATGAGAACACGACATACCAAATCATTTGGGATGCAGCAAAAGCAGTCCTAAGAGGGAAATTCATCGCAATACAGGCCCACCTCACTAAACAAGAAAAAGCTCACGTAAGCAACCTCAAACAACACCTAACAGAACTAGAAAAAGAAGAACAAACAAAGCCCAGAGTCAGTAGAAGGAGGGAAATAATAAAAATAAGAGCAGAAATAAACGATATTGAAACAAAAAAGACAATAGAAAGGATCAATGAAACAAAGAGTTGGTTCTTGAAAGAATTAACAAAATTGACAAACCCCTAGCCAGACTCACCAAGAAAAGAAGAGAGAAATCGCAAATTAATAAAATTCGGAATGAGAGAGGAGAATCACAACAGATACCAATGAAATACAAGAGATCATAAGAGAATACTATGAAAAACTATATGCCAACAAATTGAACAACCTGGAAGAAATGGACAAATTCCTAGACTCCTACAATCTCCCCAAACTGAATCAGGAAGAAATGGAGAATCTGAATAGACCAATCACAAGTAAGGAAATAGAAACGGTAATCAAAAACCTCCCCAAAAACAAGAGTCCAGGACCAGACAGCTTCTCTGGAGAATTCTACCAAACAGTCAAAGAAGACTTAATACCTATTCTCCTCAAACTGTTCCAGAAAATTGAGAAAGATGGAGAACTCCCTAACACATTCTATGAAGCCAACATCACTCTGATCCCCAAACCTGACAAGGACAACACAAAGAAGGAGAACTACAGGCCGATATCACTGATGAACATAGATGCAAAAATCCTCAACAAAATTTTGGCAAACCGATTACAGCAATACATCAAAAAGATTATACACCATGATCAAGTGGGATTTATACCAGGGACACAGGGATGGTTCAACATCCGCAAGTCAATCAACGTGACACACTACATCAACAAAATGAAAAACAAAAACCACATGATCATCTCAATAGATGCAGAGAAAGCATTCGACAAGATCCAACACCCATTTATGATAAAAACCCTCAGTAAAATGGGTATAGAAGGAAAGTACCTCAACATAATAAAGGCCGTATATGACAGCCCCACAGCCAACATCATACTCAATGGACAAAAGCTGAAAGCCATCCCTCTGAGGACAGGAACAAGACAAGGGTGCCCACTTTCACCACTCCTATTCAACATAGTACTGGAGGTGCTGGCCAGAGCAATTCGGCAGGAAAAAGAAATAAAAGGAATCCAAATAGGTAACGAAGAAGTAAAACTCTCGTTGTTTGCAGACGACATGATCTTATACATAGAAAACCCCAAAGAATCCACAGAAAAACTATTAGAAATAATCAACAACTACAGCAAAGTAGCAGGGTATAAAATTAACGTGCATAAATCAGTAGCATTTCTATACACTAACAATAAACTAACAGAAAAAGAACTCAAGAACTCTATCCCATTCACAATTGCAACGAAAAGAATAAAATACCTTGGGATAAACTTAACCAAGGAAGTGAAGGATCTATACAATGAAAACTACAAGACTTTCTTGAAAGAAATAGGCGATGATATAAAGAGATGGAAAAACATTCCTTGTACATGGATTGGAAGAATAAACATAGTTAAAATGTCCATACTACCTAAAGCAATATACAGATTCAATGCTATCCCAATCAGAATCCCAAGAACATTCTTCACAGAAATTGAACAAACAATCCTAAAATTCATATGGGGGAACAAAAGACCGCGAATTGCTAAAGCAATCCTGAGCAAGAAAAACAAAGCCGGCGGAATCACAATCCCCGATTTCAAAACATACTACAAAGCTACAGTGA